TTCTACCCTCTCAAATGGACTGTGTCTTTGTTCTTATGGTTTGCTCTGGAAACACAATAAACAGTATCCCTCCAGAGTGATTTTTTTTTTTTTAAATTAATTTCTCCAGACAGCAAGTTTCCCCCTCAGTATGGTTAAAACTGTGGGGCTTGTGTTTTCCTCTCCCTGCAGTGGGATTAGTGAAGCAGTTGCTGTGCTGATGGTCAAAGTGGCTGAACTGCACTGAGGTTAAAACTAAGGCACAATTGCAGGCTCCACTCTGGCAGTCTTCGGTAGTGCCCACTTACTGGGGCAAACCAAGATGCAGTTAGCTAAACCTAATGGAGGTGATCCTCCATGCAGGTATCTTGCAAGGTATGGAGGGCTTGCAAGGCCTATACTAAGCTATTATGAAGTTACATCTAAGCTACTATGAAGTTACATCAAGAAGAAGTGAGGCTTAGAAGGACAAAAGGARTATGAAGAGGAAATCACAGAGCACACCAGCCAGCTCCCATGTCTGCAGCACAGCCCTGTCTCTGTACTGATGGATGAAACCCTGGCACAGACAGGCGACAGATCCTTAGGGTACATTACCTTGGAGCTGGCAAGCATACATCAGCTCTGTCACCATGCACGGGTTGGCGTGGAGAGAGGATGAACCATTTCTGCCGGCAACACAACCTACTGGGAAGACAAACCTTAAATCTCACAGCTCTTGGAGTGTTGCAGGCACAAATTGGGGGTTCTGACATTCTGGCAGATACTATTAATCCTGCAAACCTTTACAATAACCCGCTGAGGTGCATCTGCAGGTCTGTAAGTGTCAAAAACAAAGTATGTAGGRCTGGAGAGCAGAGGAAGAAGAGCAGTCAGTTCTTGGGGCTGGAGCCAGTTGTTTGATTGATTTTGCTGAAATTTGTGTTAAATGATTTCTGGGTCATGGTAAAAATTTCCCTCTGTAAAAAAAAGCACATTAAAAAGCCAGTATCAAAAAACTAAACGGGTTTGCTTGTTCCTATTTCTGTACTGCTGAAAATGTTTTAATAAAACCTTTCTTGTTAGCAGCAGCTATGACAGAATCAGGTATGGATTCAGGAAACAAGGTATTTCACTGCAAGCAAAAATAGTACTTCAGTCAGCAATGTTTTTCTGTTTCCCAATGTAAGATATTTTGGTCAAAGTGTTGATTTTTAAATTTTATGCAAAAGCCCTAAAGGGAGTGCTAACCCCCTTGTCCCTTCCACCCCTCTCTCTCTGCCTCCAACCCACTGATGAAAAACAAGCAGCCCCCASTCCTTGGGCTGGACACACCGGTAAATCTGTGGAGCCTTAATATTCTGTCCATCTTCATCAGCTCGAGCTCACACACGTCTGCCCAAGCATTTCTCCTCCGGGGCTGCAGCCGGGCTGCGGATAATGCGGGAGGAGGGAGAGCATCCCGCGGCCACCTCCCCCGTGGCTCTGACCCGGGTACCATGTGCGGGTGAGCAGGAGAGGCTCGTTGCCATAGCGACTGCTGCTAAAATGCCCCCCCCTCCCCGCACCGGGATGCAGTTTGTTGCAGACAGTCGTTTTTCGGCGGGGGAAGCCCGGCAGTGGGGTGCCCTGGGGAGGCTGGAGCGGGGCTGACATTGCCGGGGAGGCGGTTGGGGGAAGCCCCCGGGAGTCCCGGTGGGCAATGAGGCCACGCTGCTTGTTGCCTGTCCTTCCCCCGCCCGCCTCGGCTGCTCCCGCCATCCCTCCCTCCTTGCCTTTCTCCCGCCCATCCGCGCCTGTCGCCTCCCGCTGTCGCCCAGATCTCCCGGCGCGGGGTCCCTTCTCCTTGGCGCTGCCTGGCCGGGAAAGGAGCCTGACTCATCCCGGCTGACACCCGGCAGATGCCGGAGAGAGCAATCTCATCCCGTCACCTTGCACCCGTGGAAGAAGGTAGGTGGCAGGTGGCAGGGCAGGTAGCGGGTGCTTGTTGGGGATGAGGTGCATGGCAGTGAGGTCATGTCTGGGTCCCCAGTTATCGGCAGCTCCATGCCCCAAGCTGCAGCCTGCCCCAGGGTGCCCAGTCCTGGGGGATTCTCCTTCGGTTGAGTTGAGCCATGGCTGGTAACACTGCAGCCTGGGTTGTGCTCCCAAAGATGCACACAGGAGGGTTTTCTACCCTAAGTCTCCGGTGTTCGGGCATGCTGCTGACAGCCTCACCCAAACAATTTCTGYCCTGGGGCTCCTGTCACAAGTATACCCGCAGCACCCCAGGGGAGTGAGAGGTGACATGGTGGATCTAGAGGTGACATTGAAGGCATGCAGCTGGAGTGAGGTATAGCATGGGTTTAAAAGGGGTTAGACAGCTTATCTAAATGARACACTCTTTCAGATGAAAGACCAAGGATTCTTTTGTGTGTTGGGCAGACATGGATGTCCCACTGCAAAATCAGGTGCTGAAGATCAACTGGTCCAGCAAGGTTAAGGCACATTTTAGATCTGCAGAACTGCTCCAGAAAGCGAACATCTTTAAATGAAACTCCTTCTTTTCAGTGTTTGCAGCCAAAATCTGCTCACCCACCTGACAAAAGCAAGTTGCTTCTCCAGGCCAGCCCTGCAGAGACTGGGAGGGAGAGGCTCTGACACCTCACTCAACCTGGCCATAATGAGGACCCTTCCTTAAGGGGGCAGGGACTGGTGAGCAGCGTGGGGACAGCAYGAGGTTAGGCCTGCATAGCAAGTAGACCAAAGAATAGGTTGCTGGCAAGGARCTGGGAAATGCTGGCTCTGCTAGTGATGCAGGAAGGATGAACTGGGAAGTGTGTGCTTTTTGTTGCAGTGCTTTTTTGGATGGCAGCTTCACTYGCACATTTGGAAAATGGATAATCAGGGAAGGGAATGAGGTTATTGGCTTTCCTCCCATCAGCCCAGGAGGTCCAAACTGAACTCACCTTCAGAGTGTCTCTAACCCTGCCCATTGCTGTTGCCAGCCAAGGACAGATATCAGCTGCTGAGACACCTCTGGAAAAGGGCTTTGCAGGAGCTTGAGCTCCCCAGTCTGTCTGCAGCAGCAGCTGCGGGGTGCAGGAGGTGCAGAGCATGTAGGAAAGCTGTGCTGAGGGGCTTCTGATCCAGAGTTCGGACCCAACTCCTATTGCAGAAGGGGTTCATGCCTAATTCCTTACATGGTCCCTTGAGGTAAGTTAAGGGAAGCCCCACGCTGCTCACCAGTCCCTGCTCCACACAACACCTCTGTGATGTTGTACCAAGCTATGGTGGGAGCTTTCCTCAGCAGTTACCCACCTGAGGAAGGCACAGGCAGCTATGAAGAGGCAGGAGCAGTGCCCAGATCAGATCCATGCCAATAAGTGTGAGGAAATCAGGCATTTTCTGCAGTTTCTTGCTTATGATAATAATAATTGCAGCTTGTTTCAGATCTTACCCTGTGACAAAAAAAAACCCTGCTGCTACAGGCCCTCCTGGGACAAGAGGTATCCAGGGGATAAATGCTGCTGTGTCCTGGGACAAGAGGTATCCAGGGGATAAATGCTGCTGTGCACATTGAAAACAACTGATGGCTGCAGTATTAAAAAAAAAAAAAAAAAGAAAAAAGCCCAGTCTCTGATATGGAAAAAGACATCAGCCTTATAGACCAGGAGCAGAGAAGAGGATGGAAATGCTCAGAGCTCTCCCTAGCCTACTCTTAACCACCCCCACACAAGGGCTTTGGGGATACATRGTTATTGCAGAGGGATGAATTGGAAGATGGTCAGAGGTGACAGCTTTCTTTGATGTCAGTGCAGCTSTCCCCTAGTTCTGTCCCCACTGAAGTCAAGGGGCATTCTGTCACTCCCACTGAGGGGTGAGGGTTATGGAAGACCCTGTTTCAGAACAGCCTTTTGTGTCTGATTCTGGCATCACTGTGCTTTTCCAAGCCTGAGGGTGGCAAGTTTAATCCACCAAAGCCTATAACAAGTGGCACATTCACAGTGCAAAACCCAGAAGACCTGGTGCCTGGGGAAGTCATAGCTGTGCTTTTTGTGGGAGATGCTTTTTGATCATCTTTTCTGTCCCTGGATGGTCCACACCTTGGCTGGAAAAGCAAGCAGCAGAAAGACGAACAAGTTGGGCTTTTTGAATTGCCATCTGGGTTGCTCTCTCCCTCCCAAATGATGGGGTAAGAGATGGGCTCAAATGTGATGCTGTTACAGATTTAAATGGCCCTAAGTCAGAGTGCATGCCCTAAGCATGGCATCAGCAGGGCCAAAATGGTGGGGAGAGAGTGTGCCAGGGCACCCGTAAGTTGTGGGACTGGGACCCTGTTTGACCACCCCTYCAAAAATCTTCAGCCCTGACATCTGGACAAGGAGATGTTTGCTCCTTCCTGCTCTCCCATTTTTAGTGCTGGGCCAGCAGCAATCATGCAGTGTGGTGTTGTTTTGTGCTCCCCAGGGTAACGCTGTTCGGGACTCACCTTGCACCCGGCTGGCCAGGAGCTCTTGGCAAGGCAGATTGGCTGYTCCTGGTGAGTGTCCCCCATTGCACAGTGGCTGATGTGGTGGAGGGATCTCAGCTCTGCTCATAGACTGGTGCTGAACCAAGGTCCCTGAGGCCTGGCAAAGCAGGAGATGAAACAGGGGTGCAGTAAGGGAGGGCTCTGTCCTGAGCCAGACCAGCTCAAGCTGGCTATTCAAAGGGGTCAGGGGTAGTAGTTCTCACCTCAAGCAGGAGGTGAGAGGCAGCTGTACTTACTGCTTACCTTTAATCGCTGGCAGCAGGGCTGGGAGCATGCAGGCTCAATGCCCTCTCTGGGGAGGAAACAGGACTGACATTCTAAGCAGGGGTCCCAGCAATGACCCCAAAGGCACTGACCTCTCCCAGTGGATCAGGTGCCTTCGTGTGCAACCAAGCATGAACCAGATGCAGTGGGGTTGTGAAGAGGGACTGGGCACTGTGAATGAGGCAGATGTCTTGTGATCAGTCTTGGTGGAGGTGTTTTTGGATGYTCCCACTGCATGAGATTTCTCTCCTTTTCTTTGGCAGCCATGCCCCACTTCTTGGATTGGTTTGTGCCTGTGTATCTGATGATCTCCATTCTCATCCTGGTGGGCTTTGGAGCTTGCATTTACTACTTTGAGCCAGGACTCCAGGAAGCCCATAAGTGGCGAACACAGAGGCCAATCATGGAGCGAGACCTTCGGAAGACACTGATGATCCGGGACAACCTGGCCTTTGGGGTGCCTGAGGTCTGACAAGCTGTCCATCACAGCCTGAGGAATCTCTCCTGGGTAGGCAGCAGACCCTCAGCAGGGATGGCAGTCCTGCGCTGGTGCAAGATGGGCTGGTCGTCACTTTGCTCTGTRCTTATCTGAGTCTCGTACTCACTCACCATTCTCCCCTTTTGCTTCTTAGTCAAGATTTGTATGGCTGGGGCTTCCCATGTGCTCACAGCTCTTCAGCCGCCGAGGACTTCTGCTCCTCCCCATGGCTAAGACTGATGAAACACTCACATGAAATATCCCTTGTTAATCACGTGAGTGTGAGCTGACTGGCATCTTGACACAACTTTCAATAGGAAATGTGTCTGCAGGGTACCAGGTTTTGCAAAAGGATACAGAACCTTGTACTCTCATTCCCTAGGTTAAATATAACAGTCTGTTTAAGTCCTTAGTGGTATTTTGGGGGAAATAAAGGGGATTTCAATACAGATTGTTGCTTCAGCTGAGCTCTTCCCAGAATCCACCTTTGGTGCAAGAATGGTGAGCTTGCTGAAGCTCTGTGCAGAGGTACTATGGGCTCAGTGAGCCTCAGAGACTGAATGCCTTTATCTCTACTAAATGCACACTATTTATGTATCTGTTTAGGAGATGGAGAACATCCATCCATCCATCCATTCCAGATGCACCACATTAAAATTAAAGGTCTTTATTAAAGAGGTTTGTCCAAGTCCTGTGTGAAGCTGAGAACATTCTGAAACTCTCCTTGAATGGGTGCTGCCAGACTTACCACGAGCCGTTCCTGATCTGCCTAACCTTCTGCTCCTCTGTCATGGAGGGAGATGTGATAGTCTGTGATGCACTTGGTCAGTTGCCTGCACTCCAGAGCCCAACAGCATGGAAAGGCTCTTCTTCAACTGTCCCAATGAAAGCTGTGAAGCATCCCTGAGCCCTTTTTTTCCCTGCATGTCTCTGGAAAGGAACATTGAGCCTGCCATCTAACAGGGTCTTTTGTACCACCTCTGCTTTTCGGACCCAARTCATATAAGGTGACATGGATCTGGCACAAAATCCCCTGTTCATAGAGTTTCTGCACTGTCTTGGGGCTGATCAGCCACCAAAGTGCTGGATRAAACTGTGACACTGGGGCTTAGGGATATTCACATCTTCTCCCTCCCTGCCAGCCCAGTGAAATACCCAGTGTGTACAGGAACGTTTGAGAGAGCTAGGAGCTTGTGGCAGGAGGTGTCACCTCTCTTCCCACCCCAACATTCACCCTTTGCATGCAAGTAGGTGCAATGGTGCTACCTGTGAGTGTTCTGGATATAGAGGGATCCTCTGTGCCCAACTCCTCCATATCCCAGGTATGTTAGCAGGTGCCACCATCCCATGTGAACATCTGTGCATCCTGTGCCATCACCTGGGCCAGCCAGTAGGTATTGGCAATCCACATCTCCAGCATCCTTCCATTGTTATGGCTCTGTGCTGTAGTCCCCAATRGCTCCTTTCAGCAGGAGTTCCTCAGGCCAGCTGCGAAAGTCTGCCACAGCTCCTGGCTTGTATCACTCAGCCTCACCTGTGAACTTGGAAGGAGGAAGTTTTCTCCTCCATTCCCAAAGAAAGAAGGAGAATTCATTGAGCTGCTGTGAGTGAGTTATGCAGGGAAATGCATTGAGTGGGATTATTCCTGTGCCCAAAGTTTTGCAGGATCAAAGCACAGGTGCAGCCTGAAAGTTGGTCATTCTCTGGGGATGAAAGTTAATTTTTAGCTCTAAGGAATGGATCAGGACATTCTGCAAATATCCTGTGTCTTTCTGGGACATTTCATCCACCAGAATGCAATTCCATTACCATTCTTTTCCAAACCAAAACCAGGCACACTGGCAGGAGCTTTCTGGCTCTGTTTCAGACAGGGGACAAGTCAAGAGTCCTTTCATTCAGCCAAGTAACAGAGACCATGATGCAAGTATCCTAACTGGGGAGTCTCACTCARCAGGGAAATGCGGTAAATTAGGTTATTGCTGTGCTCAAAGTTATACTCACCCTGGCAAGCAAAGACTCAAAGAGCAAAGTCTGAAACAGATACGTTCTTGTGACTTGGGGCTGTGAAATGGACATGCCAAGGGGCTGGGCTGCATGGTCTGATGTGCTACCCTTGGCTGCATGGCTCACATCCCCTGCCCTCTGGCACATCACAGCCATATCTCCAAGCGCCAGCTTGGAAACCTGCTTCCTCACCTCGACTCCCTCATAGATGGGATTGCCCTGTAAATGAACACAGCTGAGCAGTGGGGTAGCATAAAAACCTCTCCACTGGAACTGAGGAGCTTGGAGCAACCAGGAAGAAGTTAAACCATCCCTGTGGGAAGGGGAAGCTGCACTCACAGGACGACCCTCTCCCCTCCTCTGTGTCCTCCTTTGCATGCTGTCATGCCTCCACATGTTTTGACTTCCACTCTGCCCATGGCTCAGTGCAGAAGTCAAGCAAAAGAAGACAGCAACCAGGTGAGGGCTGGATTAGAGAGAAACTAATTGTTCATCTCCTCTGGCTTACATTTCGTGCTGTTTAGGCCTGATACAATCAGAATTAAGCCAGGTATTTCCCATGGCTATGAAGGACTTTAYTGTCAGCAGTGTCAAAGGCTTCCCCAGTGAAATAGAAGTGTGTGACAAATTGCATGGCAGACACTTTATTTTGTTGTTGTTCCCCCTGGGAGCTGCCTCCCTTTAGCTGTGGGCAGGCAGCAAGGAGCAGTCTGCAGTGAGGTTTCCTTTGCAATAGGGTAGGTCTTCATCCACCTGGCTCCTGTGCCACTACACTGCCAGGCTATCTGAGAATAATTAAATCAAAGGCAAAACATGACTGAAAACTGAGATTGTTTCTCCTCTGTGGGATCTRTGTAGCCAGAGAGACCTCAGGGGAGAAAGAAATAGTCAGATACTGAATTAATTGCATAAAGAATCAGAGCAGATACTTAATGAAAGAAATACTACACAGTGTCAGATTTGTTTTTTTCAAGTTTTCTATTCGTTTGCCCTTAAGGAAGTCAAGAACTCACACTGTCCTGAGCTCTGCCTTCCTCCAGCATTTTCAATGGCTTGATGTGGGTCTTTGGATGGTGATTCCTCTTCCACTTCTTTCAACCCTGGTCACCTGAAAGCATGCAGTCATTGTCCCTGCCACACTGTGGGTGCTATGAGTGCCTGTCTCTCCTTCTCTTTGCTCCCACTTGCCCRCCAAACCATTCATATTCTCATCCCATCCCACCAGAACACCCTTCTGCTTTCCTCCTCATTTATTGCATTGCTCTTCAGTCTTTTATAGTGAGGAAGGTGTAGAGTGGTAAGCTGAATACATCTTGACCCTGAAAATGCCACAAAGCTGGCAAAATTAAGAAACAATCATTATAATGAAGGATCAAAAGAAAATCAGAATAAGGGAAAGAAGCATCAACTTGGATGAACCTCCAACAAGTGACCATTGAAATTGGACAGTGGGATATAAATTGTTGCACTGAAATATGCCATGGGTGGGGGGAATAAGAAAAGAAGGAAAACATTTCAACAATTCAATTTTTTTTTTTAAATCACATCCTTTGTCCTTGGGAACAGGTAGCACAGGCCTGACCTGGCAGGTCTGCACCCTGCCATGGGACCAGGGCAGGGGGTCATGTTGTGGAGCTGCCCATGCTGTGGGGCTGCTGGTGGCTGAGATCAGGAAGGTGTTGGGCAGGGGCAGCAGTGGCCATGGCACCCAGCGTGGGAGYGAGCCATGCAGGCCACAAGGGCCCCATTGTCCCAGCTGGAGGCGGGCTGGCTGGACAGGGCTGGAGGTGGGGGCTCAAGCATGACAGCAGCCCCAGGGAACTCTGCACCCCGAGACACCACAGCCCTGACAGCAGGCAAAGCCTGGGCCCCCCGGCCCAGCCTGGCACCCCCTGCCCTCGCACCTTTGCTTCCAGCCCGCTGCGGACCACCATGGAGGAGGACATCGCCCTTCATCGCAGCTGCCTGTCTGCCCCAGGCAGCCCCAGCCGCATCCCTGGCCCCCCACGGCGGCGGGACAGCCCCCTTGGTGTCCCTGGCTCCACCAAGCGGAGCTGCCTCTCGGTCACCCTGCGCCGGGCCGGGGCGGGAGGCGGGGGGSTCCCCTGGGAGTGGCTGCGGGGCCCGGCCCCTGTCACCCCAACCCCTCCTCGCCCCTGGCCCACAGCGGCTGAGGGGCCCCAGCGACACGGCAGCTCCGGCGGGGCTGAGGCCACCCCAGTGGCGAAGATGGGGATGTCCTGTGCCCCACCACGCTCCGGTGGGTCTCCGCTGATGGGACGGGATGGGCAGGGGGGAGGGAGGCACCAAGGCATCCTTTGGCAGTGSCATGGAGCCCAGCATGGGGCAAAACCCCCTTCAGGAGAGGTAGGGTGATGAGAGGGAGGATGGGGGCTTCCTCCCCTGGGAGTGATTTCCCCTTGACCCCCACCAGAATCAAGGGTGGGTAGCGAGCTGGTGGGAGGAGAGCCTGTGTGTTTACGAACCTGGTACCCAGCAGAGAAACAGGCAACCCAACCATGGTCATCATGTCAGGAGAAGTTGTGGSTGCTGGTATACCTGCCTGTCTGTCTGTCCATCTGTCTGGAGGAAGCCAGCCTGTCCACTGCTCAGCCCAGCCTGGGTAACTGCTGACAATTATTTCTAAGTGTTCCCATAATCTGCAGTGGGCACAGTTTTCTTTTTGTCCCAGAACAATGCAAAAAGAGGCACCCCAAACCCTTGCTAAGTCTGCCAGGCATCCCACAGCCTGGCCCCCACCCAGGGGCCTGTCTCATGGTGGAGGGACACAWGGTGCTCCTGTCATCCCACTGACTGGAGGGTCAGAGCATTCCCAAATGTTGGTGCCCCAGAACAGCATGACAGGGACACCRTGCCTGTTGGGGCCAGGGCTCACAAATGTAAGAGAAGTAAATGAGAAGCAGGGAAAGGGCATCCCCATCCAAAGATGCAAGCAGCCAGAAGCATCCACACGGCTCTCCAGGCACGGGCACCTCCACAAGGCACGTGGAGGTACCCGCCAGGGCACATGAGGGTGTRAGCTGTGTACCCCAACATGGCCCAAGTGGGAGGATCTCTCCCTGCTCACCACACGCATGCACACAAATGCACATATATGTACACATGTTTGTACACACACACATACACACACACACACACTCAGAGGGGATGGTGCTGGCTCTGCCTCTGCGCCTTGGGCTGACAGCCAGGAATCACCCTGCTGAAGGAGAAAAGGTTTCTCACACTTCCACAGGCAAAGCTGAAGGGCAAATCGCTTTTGATRAAGCAAATCATTCCAAATTTCCTCCCTCTGGGAAAGCAGAAGGAATTCTTGCAATACCCTGATCCCAAAAAAATGCTTGGGGGCAAAGAGCGCCCTTTCTTAGCCCTGCCGGAACTAAGCTGGGAAGGGTTAAATATGCCCCTCCCTAAAAGAGCAGAGATGCTGAAAACACAGGGGAATTGGGAGGGGAAAAGGACAAGAAAAGGCCTGTGGGGTGTGGGTGTGCAATGGGAGCCCCTCCAGGACATGTGGGGCCCCATCGGCAGTGGCCCCTCCAACCCCGAAGCCAWACCCCCCCCTCCGCCCCCACGGCAGAAAGGCTGGCGGGGGCCTGGGATGGAGTCGGGGGCCTGGGATGGAGCCGGGGGAGGGTGCGCGGGGGGAGATTTTGCGGAGAGGTTTAATATTCAGGTCACATGACGATGGCAGCAGGAGCAGCACCAGCATCCCCGCTCTACTGAAATAGCCACTGGAGAAGGAAGGGAAGGAGAGAGGGGGGAGAAGAGGACACAGGGAAGAAAGACAAAGGTAAAATCAAGTGGAGCCTTGTAGCCCACCGTGCTGCTTCATCAGCATCAGGCTAGAAAAGTGGGGGGAGACCCACCCCCCTAGGAGAGGATTCAGAGACAAAGGAAGCTTCATGTTCAAAGGTAGGATGCTCCGGGCTCGACAGGGCTGGGCAACGCCAGAGGGACACCGCTGGGGCTTTTTGCGCAGGCATCCTCTGCCGTGCCCCCACGCTGCCCAGCTCCGGGCATGGGGGAGGGACAACCCCAGAGGGCAGTGGGGGAAATCGGTCTTGGCTTTGTCTTTTCTCTGTTTATTTCCTTTCGGTGGCAGCAGTCTTGTATGAAGGAGAAGGAGCAGGGCTGGTTGTGGTGCTGATGGAGAATGGTGCCAGGTGCTGCTCTAAAAGAAAGGGATAATCCTAGCTGGCCCATGGCTGGGGCGTGCCCACAAACTCCTGGGCACCTGGCTTGTCCCTTGCCAATGACAAGCAGCGGGATGTCCTGTGCTGATCCCTGGGCATCTGCTGATCCCTGGGTATCTGCACAGCAGGCACGCAGGCAGGGGTGCAGGCAGCTGTGGTGGTGTGGGTACCCCGGTCCAGGGGTGCTCAGCATCCTCTCACCAGGCAGGGGTGCAGGCAGCTGTGGTGGTGTGGGTACCCCGGTCCAGGGGTGCTCAGCATCCTCTCACCTTGTGATACAGCTGTGCCATCCAGGTGATGAGCTGGGACATGGGACAAGGGTTGCATGGCTGGAGAGCAGCACCAAGGGCATGGCTGGGGCTGTGGTGGCCGGGCTGGGGATGTGCCCACCTCCTTCACCTCCAGCTTCTGCATCTCTAGAGAGGCTTCAGCACATGCTGCCCTAGATTTCACTGCAGCCGGGCTCATGCCCAAACGGTTTGCAGAGTGCTGAGGGGAAGAAAGGTCGTTGCTGGGAAGGCTGCAGCAGCCCAGAGGATTGCGATGATCTTTAAGCCAGGCAAAAAGATCTGGTAAGAACAATGGCTCTGTTCTGTACCCTGARGTCAGGCAGTGCATCTGACAGGGCTCAGCCATTGCCTTGCACAGCTGAAAGAAATGCCCTGGGGTCATCATGGGCACTGAGGAGGGAAAGGTGTTTTTTCAGTGGAGAGATGCTCAGTTCAGCACCTCTGCAGATCTGAAGCAAGGAGCAGGTCCTGATGCCTGCGAGCTCCAGGGAAGCTGTACTACTGAAGCAGCTGCTTGCTTTCTTTGTGAGGAACCTGGCATCACCCTTTGAGGGCCTGCTTCTGCCAGCCACCTTCAGGCTTTGAACCTGTCCCTCCTTACTGTTCCATGTGTACAGGGAGTGGAACTGTGGGTCCAGGGCCACACGGTTGGAAGGGGCTGGGGTGAGATGCGTGTGAGGATCACTGCCTCCAGCTGCAGAGGGACAACCTTGTGCTACATAGGAGGAGAGCTGCAGCGAGGCCATCCATGTGTTATGTGGGGGTTAAAAAGCTTTTCCTTGCTGGAAGCTGGGTTGTGGTGTGTGTGTTTGCAGCCTTCCCTCCCTCTTGCCACTCAGACAAAGGATGGGAAGGCAGAGGGAGGGGATGTGACTGTATCTGGGTTATGGGGACATAGTAGATGTTAGTCCCCACTACCTGAGCCCCTAATGGACCTGCAGGGCCACCTCTGTCCCCAGACTGTGCAAATGTCAGAGCATGAACGGTGAGCTGCATTAGTGGTGTCTGCTGCTGGCTACATGCTGACCTTCCAGGAAGAGGTTTTGGGGTGGATCAGTGGGTGACAGAAGCTAGTGGGATCATGGAGACTTCTYTGGGCACCCATTGCACTTCTGGTTCTGCCTTCCCTGACCCAAAAGCTGCACATTTCGTTGGTCCAGGGTCACATGGAGCATCTCCTGTGAGCCAGATTGTACTCCTCCACAGTCCAGCCCAGCCCAGGGATCCTACTSGATCTGGGCAGCAGGGTGGGATCACCAGCTATGTATCTCAAATATATACGTATACCTGCAGGGGTATCACCAGCTATGGCCCTCAAATGAGCTTCACATGGCACACAGAACAAAGCAGCAGGGAAAAGGGGAGCCTTGCAAAGAGCGGATGTAARTGGTTAACCTTGGCTACCCCTCTGTTCATTATCAGCTGTACTGGCTGTAGTGCCCTCTCATGCATTCATTACAGGGGACAGCTGCAAGGACTATGGGATGTGCCCAGGACACATAATGACACCCCTTCACCAGCCACTCAGCGTGCTCAGGAGGCTTCCTAGCAGCATTAGCTTTACTGCATATAAAGSAGAGCCACTCCCAGGAGAGCAGGCAAGCATGTTTCATGTTTCAGGGTGCCTCTTATGCCTCTGGTCCTGGTTTTGCACCCCCTTACCTCCCCAGCAGGCTGTTCCTCAGCTGGCTCCTTGAATTAATCTGTGGGAATCAAAAGGTAAAAAATCATGTGCAGAAASATGAGCCCCTGGGAAATTTCTGCAAAATGGGGGCTTCCCTGACTGAGGCTATATGGGAAGGAACCCCACAGAGGGAGGAAGGCAAGTGACCTAGAGGGGAAAGGAAGGTGGCTTACCCTTCACCTTGAATATCCTGATGTAAAATCCAGGAAAGAAATTTAAGGAGACTTCTGAAGATCTTTTCTCCTCGTCTCAGGGATCCTATAGCTGATTTCTATAGCTGATTTCTATAGCTGTCCAAGAACCTGAATCTGAAATATCTGCCCTAGTCACTGCAAGCTCCTGGCTCCAGCAGCAAAGCCTGCAAAGGAATGATCATGTATTTTGATGTCCACAGCAGTTAGCAACATCTGCTAGCTCTGGGCAAAGCTTTCCTTGGTGAAACTGAGGGATGGGTTATGAATCTCTTAGTGAGCCTTGAGGCTGACAGCAAATTTCTTCCTTCCTACTCCCTGTTCCCTTGCAAGAACAAGGGTTGAAGAAAGAAAGTAGAGGGCAACAGATTCCCTGAGGACAAGCTACCACCCAGGCAGCAAAAGGGTCACAGTCCTGCATGCATCCCATGCAATTGCTCAACTGGGCTTTTTTCCTGTTTCCTTCCACCTTTGGGGTTTATTTGCCCCTATTTACTGCAGTAGCTAAGTGCCTTGCTGGGGTCACAGCCCCCTGTSCCTCATCCCTTCATGATTCTGTGTCTCTCTCTCCTCCCACTCTTTGGGCTCAGTAGCATCCCAGCAGGGCTGTGTGGGGTGCATACTGGAGGATGCAGCAGAAGCATGAGGGACACTGCACAGCTACAGGATGCAGRTGGTGTGCACAGCCTGGGAGAGGACGAGTGAAGGGCAAGGTGCAGAAGAACTGGCTGGCCTGGCCCCCTGTGCTGTATCAGAAAAATGGCTGGCACCCGCTTTGATAAAGCTGAGAAAAGACAACAGGAGCCTCAGGGCATACTTCATCAGCAAGACGGGCACAGACTGGTTGTGATGGGTGTAAGAGAGGATTGCAGCTGAGAAGCRCTCAGCTGGGCAGGCTGCCTCCTCCAGCAGCTGCCCGGCAGCGTGAGGTGCTCCRAATTGCCAGTCTGGCTCAAACCAACAGTCCATCTTGTGCTCTGGGCCCTCCGGGGTGGTGCTCACTGCTTCAGGAGAGGCTGATGATAGCACAGGGTACCCTCACTCGATGAGGAAGAGCAGGAGGGGGGCCATCCTCCCACTGACCCTTCCTGTGTGGGCAAGGTGGAACAAAGGTGGTACAAAAGCCRACAGATGTCACCCACAGTGCTGTGCATGACTGGCTGTGCTACCATCCTCTCATGCAGAGGAAAGATCCTTCTCCCAGTTTCATATARAAGACTTTCCAAGCAGTAAAAAGGAGCTGAGTGGAGTCACCCTTCTCCTGCCAAGGGTGGATCTTCCACAAGGTYTTTCCTTAGCTCATATTAGTGGCATATTACAGCTTTTATAAAATGTAAAATCTTCACCGTGTAGAGCAGTCCTTGTGCCAGCACTGGAGCTTTGATGTGGGAGCGCCAGGCAGGGTCCCCAGCCAGCCATGGAGCTTGCTGCAGCCTAACCCTGTCCTTGAACAAAGTCTCTGACCTCTTCCCAGCCTGTCTCTGCCTCRCCTGACTAAGCTGCCACAGGGACCCCAGATTGGTGGCATCCGTGTCTGCAGCCCAGTGACTTCTGAGTAATTTTCCTTGTGAAGAGGGGTATGTGTCACCCACCAAATGGCAGTTGTCTGCCTCGCTGCTCATGTCTTTTTCTGCTGCCAGTGGATTCTGATAAGAGGAGAAAAAAACTCTGCCAAAATGATGGAAAGGGATAATTTAGTGTGAGATACTTGAACTGAAGTGCCATCCAAAACAAATGAAGTACTTACCAAGCAAAAACACATTCTGTCTCTGTCCTGGAAAAACAACCYTCTAATGAGACAAAGCATGGGGGAGTGAAGTAATTAGAGTGGGAGAAACTCTAGTTTGCAGCTGGCTTGTATATGAAAGGTATTTGGTTCCTATCCCCTTCATCTTCCTTTCTAGATTCATCCCTCACGCCTCCCTTCCYCACCAATTAGAGCTTTTCTTCCATGCCCTGTCCTCTCCTAACCTCAGCTTCCTCCCAGCGGGTGGGAACTGCTCACTAATGAGACAGAGATAAATGGGTGAGGCCAAGCAATGTGTGCCATCACCCAAGAAGGGGCAGGGAGGCTGGAAAGCCCTCAGGCCTTTCTTTTTCTGGGTTGTTTTACATGGAAGAAATGAGAAGGGAAAGATGCAGATRATTAGTTTCTTGATCATGCTGATTCGTTTCTTGAGTATGACAAAAATCATTGTCTATGGTGGGAGGCAAGCACAGAAATCATGGCCATGCTTTCACTTCCACCACTGTCTTCTGAGTAACTCAGCCTGTGCAGCACAGCCAGTAATGCAGCCACCCCTGACAAGGGCCAATCTTGCAAGTCCTCATGGTACATCCYAAATGCTGTTTCAATGCCAGGACTTGACAAACGATAATGTTTTAAAGTCTGTTTTATGGTAAACTTGGAGGGGCAAAACACTGGTGGTCCTGTTAAGAACTAGGAGACAAAAAAAAGCAGACACACATGGAGTTTTGGGCACCCAGTTATTAGCCCAGCCAGCCCACTGCCCCTGCTCCTGCTGTTTGGAGATAGCCATCAATATGTTGCATTCTCAGTGAACCCCACTTCGCCTCCTTGTCTGGAGTGGTATATAGAAGAGTGTGCTGGAAACTCAGGTAGATGTTCCTCCATGGTGAGCCTTACTGCTAAAATCTTGACATTCARTTATCATCAATAACCCTTGAAATGGCCACTAAAAGCTGCCCTCAGCSCCTGTGGTCAGGTCAGCAGGAAGGTTATTGTTACACCTCAATGATGATTTTTCAATCTTTGCCCCCATGCAGGAYCAGTGGAGAGCAAAAAGGAGGCAGCCATGTCTGAGCTGGTCCCAGAGCCGCGACAAAAGCCAGTCGTGCCAATGAAACCCACAGGCATCAACGCCAGCTTGCTGGGCTACATCGGTATTGACACCATCATCGAGCAGATGCGCAAGAAAACCATGAAGACGGGTTTCGACTTCAACATCATGGTTGTAGGTAGGCAGGGGCCAGCTGAGAAACTGGGAATCGTGGCAGGGACTGTCCCCTGAGGCCAAGAGGGGGGACCAAGCYCTATGGGGAGGGCATGAGGGAGCAGACAGCACCTGCTCTGAGGGAAGAAAGACTGCACAAGGCAAGGGAGACACCTACAGCCCCTTCCCCTGCCAGCCTGGCTCTGTTGCCTGGGCCCGCTGCCATCAGCAGGCTGTGGCAAATGTCACACGCTTCCTCTCTGCAATCCTCAGGTCAGAGCGGACTGGGAAAGTCAACTTTGGTAAACACCCTCTTCAAATCCCAGGTGAGCCGCAAATCTTCAGGCTGGAACCGGGAGGAGAAGATCCCCAAGACAGTGGAGATCAAAGCCATTGGGCATGGTAAGAGCTGGGCTGCTGGGGTGGAAGCAATTCTGATGYTTCAGCGCAGTCTTGCAGAAGATCCCAGCGGTCTACACAAATAGTTCTTCAGTATTAGGCATCCCTTTCTCCATGGGAAGCTGAAAGACAGTTTTAGCTGAGCCATACAAGGCTTTTCTTAAACAGCAGTGCCACTGGTATCACAGCCAAAAGAGAGGGGTAGGAAAACGGTTATTTCATCAGCTAAATCATTAGTCTCCATTTGTAGATACAACCTTGCTTTCAGTCATTTTCACCTGCAGTTCAATTTAATAATCTATGCAAGTTGCAAGTACTGCTCCTCATGGCAAAGCAWCAGCACAACTCCTACAGTGGTGCAGGGTAATGAGCATCATCTCAGATTCAGGATGGTGCATTAGAGTGGGGGAGAAGTTGTRCTAAGGTAGGTACTACCTTCAGGCCACAGACTGAGCACAAATCCATTTTCCTGTGGCAGAGTGGTGTAAGGTGGCTTTCATGTAGATGTTACCAAAATTTGGGGTCAGACATGCAAATGAGGGTCATAACTGTTGAGGCATGACCCAGCCTGGTCTGGTCATGCTTGCTGGGCAGGGATGAGGGCAGAACTCTCTTGTTCCCTTGTGGGACACAGAGACGTGTTTCATGACAGAGCARTTCCCCAGTGAGGAGTATGATCGTTTGCAATTTCTCCCCCAGTCATTGAGGAAGGTGGTGTCAAAATGAAGCTGACAGTGATTGACACACCAGGATTTGGAGACCAGATCAACAATGAGAACTGGTGAGTTTTACAAGGTCAAGGCCTTGTGCCCCAAAAAGGGCTGGATTTAAGAYAGTATATGAGTGACTCTCATCTGCTTGGCCCTTGAATGCATCTGGGATCCTATTGCCCTCAGGGGGCTAGTAATGGGGCTGTGGGATTGTGGAACCATGGGTCTATGTGTGTGATTGGGGATATGCATGTATTACATGGTGAGCGCTTATTTTTGTGCTCAGTTATAAAAACTCTTAAACATGTCTGCTGATGGCGAGATGCTTGAAGCAAATTTCTTTCTATGCCTGAGACTGTTTCACCACTGTCAGAGCTGGGAACACTAGGCAGGAACACAAGGAGATTTGTACCTGTCTATTGATCTCTCTCTCCCACTTTAACAGCTGGGAGCCTATTGAAAAATACATCAATGAGCAATATGAAAAATTTTTGAAAGAGGAGGTGAATATTGCAAGGAAGAAACGAATTCCAGACACACGTGTGCACTGCTGCCTCTACTTCATCTCCCCTACAGGCCACTCGTATGTACACAGGCCCTCGCCCTTCCTCCAGCCCTTGATTCTTCTGTGCCAGATATATACACTACACTGCTGAATCTCAGATGTGGCTCCAGGGATCCTGCCAGCAGGGCTGGCCACTGTTTAGCTTAACTTTGGGTGCTGTGGGGCTTGAAAGGGTCTAGGATTACAAGAGCGGGAGAAATGCCACTGTGTTTTTTGGGAGAGGGCAGGACGGATGGGAAGGAGGAGAAGAAAGCATGGTGGCAGCAGGGCAGGATATRTACTAGGGAGGGTGCCCTGATGCTGGGACAGTCTAGGATGAAAGGTGAGGAGGGTAAAAAGTGATCCCTTCCATCTTGTTCCTTCTTGGGCTGCAGCTTGCGGCCTTTGGACCTGGAGTTCATGAAACATCTCAGCAAGGTAGTGAACATCATCCCAGTTATTGCTAAGGCTGACACCATGACCTTGGAGGAGAAGACTGAATTCAAACAAAGAGTGAGTATCTCCTCTTCTGCATGGGATCTTTCCCTGCCCTGGCTTGGAGGTGGGAGGAATGAGTGATATCCTTGGGATTGCAGTRCAGTCCCCAGGGCATGCACAGAGTCCAGTGCTGGGTTGGTGGGTAAGTCCAAAGATGCAGCTGTTTATATCTCTGAGGGCATCTTTTAGAGAAGGAAGAAATGTGTGTATCCCTGTGACATCTTGTGATATGTTCTGTCATGGGGACTGGAGAGCCAGACAAGTAACGGAGGCTGGGAAGAAAGACTCCTCATTGCTGCCCTGTGTCCTCACTTTACTGTGCACGTCCTTGGGACARTCCCTCCAGCTTCTGCCCACTGGAAGGATATCCCAGATGTGTTTGCCTGGCCTTGCCAACTGCCTTYCCTTCAGGTTTGTGCTGCTTTGTGTTCCAAAATGTCTCTCTGCTTAGGTGCGCAAGGAACTAGAAGTAAATGGGATCGAGTTTTATCCCCAGAAAGAATTTGATGAGGACTTGGAGGATAAAACAGAGAACGACAAAATCAGGGTAGGAAACATTTTATTGTGGGAGGGGAAGGGGAGATGAGGAGAACACCACATTTTGTTCTGCACTTCAGCATCATTGCTCTCACACATAAGAAATAAACTGCTTTTTAATCTCCATTCTTGTGGTGATTGCAGTCTCTTTCCAGGCCCAAGGATATCTATTAAGCAGAGTAAACCTATGAACAACTGCACAACCCTATGGATAGCAGAGTTTCCTGCACTCTGTGCTCTGGAAACAGATAGTTGCTCCCTGTGCTTAGAGGTAGCTGTGTCACCAACAGCCTCACCTACTGTCCTACTTCCCAGGAAAGCTGCACCCCTACTCCACTTCTGCCTTTCCTCAGTACAATGTCAGCCACTAAACTTGTTGAATGTTCACAAGTGTTATGGGGGAGAATTATTTGAGTCATCTCTATTGTGAAGAACTACAAATCTRATGAGAAGTACTCACCTCAAACTATCCATATGAGTAACTCTGAGCTGACAGACCCTCGGGTGCCTGTTGATTATGGTAAGGTACTTCTTCTCTAGTCATCCCCCTCTTCAGAAATGCTGAGGTTCTGCCCCAGCTCCACAGCCCTTGGCACTGCTGCAAGCTACCCGCTAAGCTTGTTGGGGTGCAAGGACACCTAGAAAGCAAGGGTCCAAAATGCTAGGGATAGCACTGACAGATGAAGAGGACAGCCAGTGAAGTTTTGCTCTTGGAGAAGCCCTTGTGTTTATTGAGCTGAGAGGTGGAAAGGTGGATGGGAAGAGTGATGTGCTGCTCTCTGGAATGGGTTCAATGGATCTTTCCACATGTTTCTCCCCAGCAGGAAAGCATGCCCTTTGCAGTAGTGGGCAGTGACAAGGAGTACCAAGTGAATGGCAAAAGAGTCCTGGGCAGGAAAACACCTTGGGGGATCATTGAAGGTAAAAAACCCTCTTGCTTATGGAGCTGAAAGTATGCCTGCAAATCACAGTAATAGACAAGGGTCCAGATAACATGTCCCATGACTACCTTCCCATCCCATTTGTGACAAACTGTTTGAAACCAAGCAAAAAGAGAATTCTCAAATAGCTGTGCCAGGAGGAAACTGTCATGGTCAATATGGTGCCATGATCACCACCTGGCAGAAGCTGGAGCCACTCTAAACACCATGGAGTGTGAAGCTAGGCTCCTGAGGTTGCCTTGGTTTTCAAATGAAAATTCATGTGTAACTGCTCAGCACTTCTTAGTGTGTCTTCTCAATGCCTGACAGTGTGTCRTTCAGACAACTGTCTTTCTGAAATATGCAAGCTCTACCCACTTGGAATCTGTCCCCGTTGGCAGTGACTTTCCCGTGCTCTGTAACCACAAAGAGGCTGTTGAAAAAAGCAAATGTAACAATTGYTCGCTTTCTTTTCAGTGGAAAACCTCAATCACTGTGAATTTGCCCTACTTCGAGATTTTGTCATMAGGTAAGGTCATGGTCATGCACCAGTTTGCTCTTGATGAGGTGGGAGTCTTCCTGAGATCCCCTCAGAATGATGTGGGTTTAATATTTCCTATTAGAAGGAAAATAAAGTAACTTTCAGGCAGGGAAAGCTTATGTGGTGTGGGGCTGGACTGAGTTAAGGAGTAGGTACTCTAGTGCCTCTCTAAATGCTATGACCATTATATMAAGTAGGTGCTAGTTTTCATGTATGACATGGATGCCTGAAGAAAAGCAGGATACTACCGTAATGTTGCAAAAACTGCCATTAAGGGAGTTTAAAAAAAATCCCATTAAGGTTGCAAAAACTTCTATTTGCTCCTGACCACAGGTCAGTGATAAAGTGGTCACTACCACATCCTGGATCATGTGTCCTTCCAAGTTGAAGGATATGCTGGAACATAAAAGCTGGAAGTGAAAAGTTCTATATTTCATTAGATTTCATTGTCTTGTCTTATTTCTACTCTGCTTCATTAAGCTGCCTCAGCACAAATTCTGAAAAAGAGGTGTAGATCCAGGATCACCTCTGTTCTCTATAAAACAACACAAAAACCAAGAAAATAACAGAAAAGCAGTTCAAAGCCAGAGCCCTGTGGCTCATTTCTCTTGTGGATGTGGTGTGATTGAGACATCACCCTACTTCCCTCTTTTTGTTCTGTAATACTTTCTACAGCAGAGGTGCTTTGCAAAATCTTTCAGTAAAAACATCCTGCCCAAATGATCTTCACAAAGCTTATAGCAATCCAAGCCCACGGGGTTTCTGTGGAGATTAGGGATGATGCTCACAGCAGTGTTCTGCAGTCTATGGTCTGCAGTGAATCTGACACACCCTCTTGACACTTTCTTGTCTCACCGCTGCTTCAAATAAGTCCCTGTCTGCTCTGACACCAGGATGGCATGTGGCTGTGCTGGTGGCACAGATGTTAGAGGGGCAGGGCACTGGCAAGCACAGACAGGAATTTCAGCCCAAATCCTGCATACTGCCTGTTTATTTTCAAATGCTGATGTCCCCGCTCTCAGTTGCATATAATGGCACCTATGCCATCCATGCAGAAAGAGGGATACAATAATTAGCTAGACTGACAAAAAAAAGTCTTCCATTTATTTCAGGGAACAAAATTATCATCAGAAGAGTAATACTGACTGTGCTGATACTGGCTATCATATCCTCTTTCCCACCCCACTTTGTCCCCTACAGGACCCACCTTCAGGACCTAAAGGAAGTGACCCACAACATCCACTATGAGACCTACAGGGCCAAACGGCTGAATGACAATGGAGGGCTGCCCCCCATGACTGTCGAGACAGAGGAAAACCATGAAAGCAACCTGTGAAAGATCCTCCCCCTCCACGGTCACCTGGTGACTCTGGATAGACAACCCACCCCTGCTACCCTTGACTCTGCCATGGGCCTGTCTCTGAAGCATGTGGCACATCCTCCGTGGGAGTGAAAGGATGCAAGTGTGAGTGTGTGCGGGTGTGCATGTGCCTCCCTGTGTGCCGGAGAGGGACAAGGGCATCTCCCCCATCCTTCTCAGAGTGTCCCCATTCTCGGTTTGTTTTTTGCACAGTGGACTGTCCGTCACCTTCCTTTCTCTCGTTTCTGTGTCTCAGCTGTGTATCTTGCCTGGGGGAAATAGTGTTGGGGGGGAAGGATTTCTAGGGGCATGGATTTTGGAGGGGGAAGGATTTCTAGGGGCATGGATTTTGGAGGGGGGAGGTGTGGGGCATGCTTTGGTCCTGTTTTTATCATTTGGAGACATGGCAAGGAGACACTCCAGAAGAGATGGTGGAGTCGATGTATGCATGCTTCAAGAGATGTCAGCAGAGATTTCTCTTGGATCATCCATAGGTGTAAAGGCAGCTGGTTGGTCTGAGGGCGTGGTGGCCTGGCATTTTATCCCCTTTTCTTGCTGTGGCTTCCCAAGGGGAATGGCAGCTTGGAATGGGATAGATGAAAGAAGACTGACACGTTTTGTGGTTCAGAGCAAGTGACTGGTGGGAGAAGACAGAATTGGTTCTTGGGCTGTAGCATCTGTTTGAGAAGCATCAAAGTACTTGGGGAAGAYAGATATATTTTCCAAAAGAACCGAAATCCAAGGGAAATGAAAGTGTTCCTGCTGCAGTGAGTGCATTTGCCCTGCCCAGCACTAAGGTCAAAAGCCATGCTTGTTTCACAGGCCTTTGACTCTGTGCAGAGCAGACCAAGCTGTCCTGGGGTCACCCCATCCCACWGCTGCAATCCCCCATTGCAGTGGTCTCTCTCCTGCACTGAGAAGGTCCTGCCAAACCTTCCCCCCACAGCATGGCCCCTCTGCTGTGGGAGCACAGAAAAGACATTGCCACAGGGGGTCCCTGMTGGGACCTCCCCCAGGGACAGCTCCACTTGGACTAGGGCCTTGAGGATCATGGAGGAGTGCAAAGAGCTGTGTATTGAGAAGGACTGGGCCAGGGTGTCTCCCCTGATGGTGGGGGCACAAGAGATACCACTTCCTCACCCTCCTCATTGAAATGGCTGCATTTGCTACTGCAGCAGTCTCAGCGCTGTTCCTCTGCCCTCTTACTGTCCTGTGTCCTCCACTCCTTTGCTTTTGACCTCATTCTCTTTTAGCCCTCCAAAACTTTCTTCCTTCCTTTCTTTCCCTATCTCACTTTCTCTGCTCTTTACCCTTTCTGTTTCTCTTCATTACTCCAAGTACTTGAATATTCCTCTTCTCCAGGCTGTTTCCTTCCTCTCCCAAGCTCTCACACATTCTTAACAATGTGCTTTTGTGTCCTGTTGAGAAGCTGTTATTTTACCTTTCCCTGAAGAGGATGGGGAGGAAGGTAAATATCCAGGAGCAGAAGCAGGTGCAGCTTTACTGAAGATTACATGCCTGTGTTTAGCTGGTGTGTCAGCTGTTTTGTGGATGTCCCTGAGGCAGAAAGTGTCAGGGCTGTCTGGGCAGAAGGAAGGAGGGGAGAAGACCAGASATGTCCTGAGTTTGGCAGTGTCTGCCTGTCTCTGCATGTCACGTGACTGGCCAAGGGTTGTTCCCCACCAGGACACTTAAAATGCACATGCAGAATTCCATGGGCTGGGGTGACAGCACTGCAAGTAAGGGGGAGTGTGAGGGGTTTGGGATGGGCGTTGGAAGGGCTGGCACGGGAGGAAAGAAGAGGGAACAGCAAATGAGCAGCAGAGGAGGACTCAAGTCAAGCTTGATGTTGGTTGACAGAACTGTACGGGGGTGAAGGATGGGAACAGGGTTCTCCAAGCCTTAGCAAAACTGCCAAGAGCATATGTCCTTGTGGCTTTCTCTGGTGCTGTCACTGCAAAGCAAAGGTTCTCTTCACTCTCACTCCCACCTGTCCACATAAATCAGCCATTCTCAGCACCACTAGGATGTGAGGGCCGTACCAGCCCTTCCCAGTCCTTTTACCACCCATGTTCACAGCTCCTGGTGTTCCTGTATGCAGTGTGTGCACATAGCCTTGCACGCCCTTCCCCCTGCACCAGGCCTCCTCAGTCCTGCAGGGAACAAGAGCCTTGTCCCTGGTGCCAGCAGCCATACCATGGACCCTGCAGAAACCATCCTGCCATGCTGCTACCCATCCTGCCACACAACCAGCCCTCCTCTGCTCAAGGACATCAAAGACATGATCTGATCCTCATCAAAGACACCGCCAGGGGCTCTGCTTCTTTACAGCACTAAAGCACAAAGCCATGCTCCATCATCTGCACCCTGAGCTGCAGAATGGTAATCTTTACGACTTTTGGGTCCAACCAAAGGTTATGGAAGAGAGACAATGCTGCCCTGTTTAAAGAAAGCAAAGCAGACCCACGTAACAGAAGACAGAGACTTTCCTTTGCCTGTAATGTSGATTTCAATGACAAGGCTGTGTGTTTTGCCCTGTAGGTTTGCGAATTTTTATTTGTTTGTAATAATGTGGTTTTTACGCCCTGCTCTGTAATTTCTTGTCAGATCATAGACTGCTTCTAAAGGATCTGTAAAAGCTCAGAGAAAAACAAGCTCGGGTACTCCTCACTGCCACTATCCTACCAACATCCCCTATATCTACCAGGAAGTCTACCAATGGCAAACACAAAAAAAATCTCACGTGGCATGACGACGGGAGACACTGTTGGGAAGAAGTCTCTGTAAATGGATAAGCTGGGAAAAGCCTGAATTGTGTGCCACCAGCTGAGTTCTAGGATGACCAGAGCAAGTCAGCTGTTCCCCTGAGATATCCCGAGTGATAATGCAGAGGGGAAGGGTCTAAACCTTACACCTGACGTGCCCACTCAGCGCATTCAGAGGCTCACAAACTCTTCGCCAGATAAGCCGTTCGCCCGAAAAACTTTGCTGAGCACGGCAAATCCAGGACAACTTTCATTGAGGCAACCACGGTAGCGAACAGGCGTGGTTGTACTGAGCATTGAAAGCCGGAGGAGCGAGCAGGGCGGCGTGTAGGCACCAGTGTCTGTGGTTCGTGGTGCGGCCCGGCGCGGAACAGGCGCGGTGAGCGGAGCCGTGCGGGACTGCCCCTGTAGCAACCCGGGCGCCACAGGCGGCCATTAAAGCAACCCAGCGCCGCCTCACTTCCGCCTCGCTTCCTCTCACTTCCGCCTCGCGCGCGGCCGGCCGGGAACGCAGCGGGAGGCGGGGCCAATGGGGTGCGGGGCGGGGCCATGCTGTGTGTGACGTCACCACCCCCGCGGTGTCAGGGGCGGGGCCGGCGGGGCAAACATGGCGCTGAACAGGAACCACTCGCAGGAGGGCGGTGTCGTCATTCCCAATGCCGAGAGGTATCGCGGGGTCTGAGGGGCCGGGCGGGTCCCCCTCGCCTCCTGTCCCCTCAGCAGAGGCGGGACGGAGGGGCCCGGTGGTGGGAGGCTGCTGCTGGGGCAGGCCCGGGCCGGTCCGGGGTCTGCGTTATTAAGGGACTCCYCGGCACGGTGGGGACGGGCTGGGGTGGGCAGTGGGGAGTGGGGAGTAGGTCTGGCTGGAGGTCTCAGAGCTGCCCCGTCGTCACCGCGGAAGCTCGGCGGTCTTTAAAGCCGCTCCAGCGGTCTCTCTGGGTGAAGGCTGAGGCTGCCATCGCTTAAAAAGTCAAGGAATTGGCTTTTGTTTTTTAAGGTCATGCACTTAGTGATGTCTGAGAGGCAGGGACTACTTAAATTAGGAGTCCAGATCCCTTGAATTCATAAGTAAGGAACTTGAATTCAAAGTTCCTCCTTTGCGCGGAGAAGCACCTCTTCATGGAAGCACAGCTTGACGCCTGCCTTCGTCTCCAGTGGGGATTGACAGGCCAGCTTAAGAGATTTGGTTTCACTTTGGTTGTGTTTGGGTTCTCCCAGCATCCTGGCAAGAGAAATCCTGGAAACTCGAGGTCCAGTAAAGGATCGAAGTAAAAAGATCAAAGGAGTTGGTTTGGGGTTGGTGATCAATAGGAAAATTACACTCCAAAAGTATGTTCCACATAGTGTTGAGTTTGGAGCAGTCAGGGAAGTCCTCTGACATGTTGAGCTCATGCTGGTTTGAAGGAGATTTTTTTTATCTTTTGAATCCTGGGCTGTGTCAAAACCAGCATGGACAGGAGGCCAAGGGATCAACCCTGATTCTGCCCCTGTATTCCACWCTGGTATGACCTCACCGGAGTGCTGCGTCCAGCTCTGTGGTCTCCAGCATAAGAAGGATATGAAACTGTTGGAGCAAGTCCAGAGGCCAAAGTTGATAAAAGGAATGAAGCACTTCCTCTGTGAAGACAGCCTGAGAATGTTGGGGCTGTTCAGYGTGGAGAAGGTTGTGTGGAGACCTCATTGCAACCTACAGGGAAGGCACAAAAGAATTCTTCATCAGAAGCTGCAGTGCTAGAACAAGAAGTAATGGGTACAAGCTGAAACAAGGGAAATTTAGGCTAGACATTAGGAATAAATTCCTTACTGTGAGGGTGGCGAGGCACTGGAACAGGTTGCTCAGAGAAGCTCAACCTTGGATGGCTCAACCTTGCCAGTGTCCAAAGCCAGGCTGGATAATGCCTTGAGCAACCTGGTCTAGTGGAATGTGTCCATGGCCATGGCAAGGAGGTTGGGATTAGGTAATCTTTAAGGTCCCTTCCARCCCCTGACATTGTATGGTTTTAGGATCTCAAGCCATTCTTTGCGGTGCTGCTCAGTCACCGTGTGGGCAGCACAGCCTCCTGTGACAGCCCTGGACAGGCATGCAGGTGCAGACCAGTTCAGCAGCTTAATTATACTCTGTGGTGGTGGCTGCATGTTGCYTGTGTGAGTAGCTGCAAAGCAGGAAACATTACAATGACTACATAGAAATACTTCCCAGTGAGGCAAAATGATGTGGAACACTGCTACAGGATGTAATTCAGTTAAGTGTTCTGGTAAGATTAAAGCTGGTCAAGAAGTTGGTTTTACTTAGCTTAGAATAAGTGTTTCCCCTTTGCATTTTGGAAATGAAAAGAGCTCTGCTGYATCATCAATGTGTCCTTTCCAGCCAGTCTGAGAATCTGCATCTAGCTCAGCTMTGAAGTAATGTCCCCGTAGACATTTCTTGGTCACGTTGTTTTTTCTCATCAAAGCTAGACTTTTCAGTGTCTTCTTTCTCAGATAGCAGATATTTTTCAGATACATGCAGTGTTCTTCTCTTCCTTAAAGAGCAAACCACCTAAAACTACAGGGCTTTTGGTTGTTTTCCTATAGAGTGGCCCTGCAGATTCCTTCCTTCCCCAAATAAATGCTCCGTTTCCTGACTTTATTTGACTTCTGTAGTATGCTGAGCAGAGTACATAAGGATTATTTTAGATCCAGCCTGTTCAGGCTTGTGTTGGTTTAGGGTTTTGTTACTTTGTTTTCCATGTTCTTGAACCATAAAACACCTCTGAGTCTTCCACTACTGTAATACACTGAAGGTTTGTCACCCCCAAGGTTCTTTTGTTTCTTCTGCAGATTTTCTTACTCTGTGGTATGTTTAGGATCTGCACCATAGTTTCAGTGACATGCTTTCCCAAGRTGACTCTTCCATTTGTTTCTGAAAATATATTGGATTTTTCATGTACCTCCACAYCCCTGACCCTGCAGTGTTCACAGTTCTCATCTGGCTTTGTGTCATTAGCAAACTCTGCTAATGTTCCCATAGAAACCCAACAATAATACCCTTACTGCTGATTCTTTGTTTCATTCTTTAGTGTGGTACTGTTTACTACAAAAACTTACTTAAGTCATKTGAGGCAGGATCAGCAGTGAATGTTTCAGGGCAGCCACTTCCTCAGTTTGCACAGTGGGTGTAGTGTTACAGTGCTATTTGCCAGTGCAACGGGCTTGGGAGGGAGGATTGTTCTGACATTACACCTTGGTATCCAGGGGATGGTTTCTGACACCTCAGCCCTTTCTGTATCCTCATCTTTGGGCTGAGGCTTTTTTTTTTTTTTTTCTGCAGAGCTGAATTCCTTTGTCTGACAGCTTTGGAGACAGAAAACCCCCTGCTATTTAAAGGTGCCCTTTATGAAGGAGGAGCAGGGCTTGTTTTAGATGAGAGGATGAATTCTTCCACTCTGCATAAATCATTCCTCTCTGTTCAAATTCAAAGTGGTGGGGCCCACAGCAGAACTTTGGGATAATATTCAGAGTTTTGCTGTGCTATTCCCCTCCCTGTGTGATGGAAGTACGTGTTTGAGCTGTTACCAAATTTGTCTSTCAATCTGATTTCCTCCTGCAGTGTTCTCAAACAGTGTAAAGATGTGGAGCTCTCCTTCAGTGACGTGACAGGCAAGCCTGAAGTGTTCAAAGGCACCAAGAAAGGAATGCTGTATCTCACCCCTTACAGGGTAAGTGTGATCTCAGCAGGGCTGCTTCTTTTTCAAGGGATCTTGTAAACTATGGACCAGAAACCTAGCTGATGACAGAAGAAGGGACTTTTATTGTGRAAGGAACCACTGGCAGGACTAGGTAGGAGAAAGGAAGGTGGAAATAGGATAGTTCATACCTGTGTCACAATCTCAAATGTCTACAAAGGCACGTGCAGTCCTGGAAATCACCGTGTAGAGAATATATTTCATATAATGTGTCAGTCAATAATATGTTCTTCAACAAATCTCATTGCTTATCCTTAAAAAGCAGAGCAGTAAAACTCTGTAAATGTGCAGGGGTGTTTTATGTGGTTTATTATTTTGGAATGTACATTGTTCAGGTGAGTGAGTCGCCATCAAATATCTTGGGCATCCCCAGTCTTAAAGTTGTGAAATAATGCTATGCATAGTCATCCTAGAGGTTAAGTTACCCTCTTTTTGGTTGCTGATACAATGAGAACTCCACAATCACTCTCTCTGTTGAATTCAAGTAATTCAGAAGTGTTCTTTTCTGTCTTGCAGGTGATCTTTGTGTCCAAGGGCAAGGATCCTATGCAGTCATTCATGATGCCATTTTATTTGGTGAAAGGATGCTCAATTGAGCAGCCTGTTTTCTCTGCCAATTACATCAAAGGACAGATCCAGGCCGAGGCCGGAGGTACGTTCCTGTGCTTTGTAGATTGAGCTCCTCCCAGGTGTCACAAGGCCTTTTTTGCTGAACAYTAGGCAGACCTCTTACATGCACAGGAAAGGCATAGTGCCTGTGGTGGTATAGTTGGTGTGTCCATACTGAGGTAACTCCTCTCTCCTGCGCTTTATAGCACTGCTACTGTGTCACTTTGTGCCCCAAGGCCAGGAACTGACTGGCCCAGGATAATTTTTGTTTAATTCTGTAACTTCTGTCTTGCTGTGTGTGTCAAGTTTACTCAGTTTCCGAATGTGCTTGTTTTTCTCCTGTCTTTGACCTGGAAGCATAGGTAAATGACCAAGTCACCAGTTAATGCCATTGCTAGACAGAATTAGAGTTAGCAACCACTTTGAGCTTTGGAGGTCAGCAGCCACTTGGGTATGATTTGCATGAATCTGGGAGTCTGCTGTCRATCATTGATTTAGCTTTGATCCCAGTTTGACTGTTAAGCTGCAGTAGTACTTAACTTACTGTGGTGGTTTGAATGAATTCAATGGGAGCAAAACACTCCCAAGTTCCAGCAAAMCCCCCTCCCCCCTCTCTTTTCTCCACCCGGGTCCTAGAGACAACCTTTTCCCCAGAGAGGAAAGTGAAAAGAAAAGGGGGAACAAAAACTATTTATTTAAAAATTATATAAACACAAAGAAAAAAAMCCTGTGGAATCAGCTGTTAGATCCCAAAGCCTTTCTCTTCCCTCCTGGGAGTAGCTTCCCCKCCGGGCCCCCAGAGGGGTTCGACAGAGTCTCTCTCCGATAGTTCACTGAAGGATTTTTTTTCTCCCGGCCGTGCCACGAGAATCCTCCAATTCTCAGATGACGAAGAGGAAAAAACAAATTTGAGGAAAAACAAGTCCAAAAAAAAAGGCAGAAAAAAGGAGCAGTCCCAGGAAAAGCAGCTTCTTTTTCCACCGCCGATCCCGAGAGAGAGCCTCCCGAGAAAAAAAAAAGTCTGTGTCTTGTCCCTTTCCCTCCCATTGTCCTTGAAGGGARGAACATCACCAAACAAACCAGAGCAGTCTCGACTATCATGTAGAGTTACAGAAGGGTTGTTTAACTTTCTTCTAACATAAGCAGATGATAGGAATACAATACTCAGCTAACCTAGGACACTTACTTAAGTGGTGTTTATGACCAAACATGGGGAATTGCAAAAGATAAACAGGGATTGAAAACATGGCTTCTGGTTCAAATTTCTTTCCTCTTCAGCCCTGGAATTAGTTTATGTGAGTTTTCATGGCATCTGAAGAGTTTATGCTTTAACATGCTCATAACAATGTTTTAAAGTGACTGGGTTCTCTGGGGATTGTGGATCAGCCCACTTTCTTGGGCTGAAGTCATGCTAAGACAGTGGTTTTACAGAAGTGAATCTCCAAAGGAATGACTTCATCCATGATGGACTCTTTTGTTATATTTCTGTACTTTATTTCTACTTTTTTCCCAAGAGACTATCTCTCTTTTTACTAATTTAATTGTTAGACAAGGAAGATAAATCTTGTATTTAAATGACTTTTTTTTTTTTGTTAAAAACACCAACGCCCACAAAGCGCCAACGAAACAAAGCACTCTTAATTATCTTGCAAAACATTGCCTACCTGATTGCATTTTCTGAAAAATTGCTATTATACCCCAGCATTTAATAATCTGTGTGGGCTTCTATGTGTCAGTGAGATTAAAGATGTTGCGTTTGATTTAAATCTTAGCTTGAGTTGCAGATACTGATCTGTAGTCCACTGAGATCATCAATAAAACTTTGTCTGAGGGCTTTCAGTTAAAATTCTCAGTGAAATAAATGTTCCATCTTGACACTGTTCATTAGTAGGTTCCATTAAACCTTTCAGGGAAGAGCACAATAGTCTTGTATCTAGAGTAGGCTGCTTTTACATTGCTATAAGTATTAAAGAGTAAAAAAATTAATACCTGATCCTCTTGAGATACTATTTTGGGGGATATTCAATAGCAGTGCCATGACTCTTTCTCCCTGATAATAGGATGTAAAATAGTTTTGAAATAAAGAAGAAAATTTTGCTGGTTTGGCTGATACTGAGGAGGTTAATGKTCTGTTTCAATTCTAATTCTCTCTCTCCCAGGTGGCTGGGAAGGGCAGGGAACATTTAAGCTGACTTTCAACAGTGGAGGAGCCATTGAGTTTGGACAGCTGATGTTCAAAGCTGCTTCTAGTGGTAAGGGATTTTCAGATCCTGTGGTACCCCCATAGCTGGCTGAGCCAGTAAGCAAATTGTGCTCTTTCTGAACTTCATGGGAAGAGGGATACCCTATGCCCTCTTCCACAGCAAAGTATTTTTTCTCTTTCCATGAGAACTTTTGTTTTCCCTTCCAGTCCTTTTTCTTTATTTCATCTTAGTGCTTTGTGCACTCAGAATATTGGGGTTTGTGCTTCTGAGGTGGACCAGCTTTTTCTATACAACCTTATTTCTCTTGGAAGAAGTTGAAATATGTGATGGTGAAAAATTGCTTTACTTACCTACCTTCAGTTCTATAATAGTGCAGTAAGATTGGGGAAGTTAATGTGCACATTTGGAGAGGGGAAAAACAGGTTTTAAAAAAWAATTTATTTTTAAAATTTTCAAATGAAGGGAAAAGTACCTTTTTCTGATAAAGTTTTCTTTTTAAAGAAATGTGCATTTTAAAATGTACGTCTTTTTCAGAAAGTTAAAAAAAGAAGGAAAAAACATTGTACTGATACTTATTTTAGGATCTTTTCTTCAGGCAGTGGGAGCTCTGTGGTGGGGCTGGTACCTCTGAGGTTGTATTTTTGCAGCTGGTTTCCTTCAGCACTGTGTAACTAACGCTTTTCAAGCACAATACTATGCCAGGACTACATAGTGAATCTAGATCAAGGGAAATGGTGCTGCATTAATAGGACTATTTTCATTTTATTTTATACATCTAGTTTTAAGAAAAGATGTCTGGCTTAATAACCATGTGTTCCTTAGCTTCCAGTGGCGTCCCTCTCCAGAATCCTGGCTATGGATACACCCCTGTTCCTGGAGGATATGGACCTGCCCCCGGGGGCTATTCACCTRTGCCAGGAGGCTACGCTGCCCCTCCACCACCAAACGGGCCATATCCCTATGCACCACCTCCCATGAATGCCTACGGACCTGCTCCACAGCCCATGGGATATCCATATGCCCAGACTCCAGGTTTGGAAGTTGTGTAGTGATTGCTGTGTCTGATAGTAGCTTTAAAGAAATGACAGTGGTATACTGAGGGTTACTGTAGTTTTGTCTCCATCATCCTTGCAAAAATCTGTCACATGCTGTTGATCACACCCATGTGTTGCTATAGCTATAGTTCTAGCTTCATGAAAATGTGGTTTGCAAATTGTGCTGCTGCTTGGTGGAGAATTATTGCTTGCTCACATGACAGGCATTAGCAAATGATCAAATCCCTGCTGTCTGCATCCCTGCCAAGACTGGGGACTTTCCCTTACCACCCCTCTTCTCCAGTGCTCATGTACTGTTGGGCCTGTGAGCTCTCTGTCCTGTGGTCCRTGGTCCAAAACATCAGCCTGGTGTTGTCTTTTTCAGGTATTTACCCGCCACTTCCAAACATGAACTCCATGTATGTGTCACCTCCACCGCCCTACTCAACAGCTCCTGCAGAACCTTCAGCCCCCTCAGCTCCCTCCGCCTGGGTGAGCCCAGGGATGCCAGGTAAATGGGACTGAGAGGTTGCCAGGGTCTGGCTTCTTGGGGATTTGGGCACAGGGTGGCATGGGCACAGGATGGGTTGGGGAAGCTGTTGTTGCAAGAGCTCCAGGTCTTATGTGGGGAACTGCTCAGCCCTGCACTGCACAGCTTGTGGTCAGCCCTAGCAAGCTTTCCTGAGGTGCCCTGAATTCTAAGCCAGCTTGCTGCATTTCTTGTCAGCTCTTTGGGCCTTTGKTGCCTCCTTGAAAGAGCTGTGAGAGAAGGCTCTGGGGCTGGGGGCATTGCTTCAGGTATTTAAGGTGGTTTCGTTCCCTTCCTTTCCAGGAGGTAGTAAGGCCATGGAAGCTGCTTCCAGTGCATATTACAACCCTGCTAACCCACACAATGTATACATGCCCATGGTGAGTACTGTGCCTGGTCTGCATGTGTCTGCTCCAACATCCTCTGTTGCTAGCAGAGATGGTGCTTTGCTTTCCTAGCAAGGTCCAGTATACCTTCATGTTGAACATGCACAGAAAGCATGCATTTTTCTGTGAGGGAGGCATGGATGTTGGTCCCATTGTTAAATTATCAGTCAGGAGAGGAGGAATGCCTTAAGATTGGTGCAGAAAAAACCATTTACTACTTGTCTTACTCCTAACGACAAAACAGACTTGGATGGGCACAGAGACTACACAGAGCTCTCTGCATCCATTGGGCCTGAAAATGAGGTCACTTAAAGATGAGAGCATGTGGGTTTCTGTTTCACTTTCTTTCTGGGTTGCATGGAGACAGGGAGGTTTCTTTCTGTTCAGTCAGTGGCAGCCAGTAGGTTGTCTGTAGCCTCCACCTGGTACATGATAGCCAGGCCRGCTGTGCCCTTCACTGCCTTGCTTGGCTCTGGCAGGCTGGAGACTGATGGAGCAGCAAAGCTGGCCTTCAGCCCAGCACTTGCTGTCTGCTGGGTCAGAGCTATGAGCTTCCACAGGGACAAAACCAGGGAAGGGAAGGGAAGGGAAGGGAAGGGAAGGGAAGGGAAGGGAAGGGAAGGGAAGGGAAGGGAAGGGAAGGGAAGGGAAGGTGGCAATTAAAGATTAAATGGTCCATTTGCAATAGACTCTGATTTTGAGGGGACTTACCCTAGAAATATTATGGGGACAGCATATATCATGGAGCATAACTGATACTGGAGAGGAATGGAGTGACGAAATTACATCTTAAACCAGAGTACTTGGTTCTGTCTGTAGCTCACTCAGGGCAGTCATTTCTGGTGAACCAGAGTGGGAATGCCTGGGAATTCCTGGAAAGAGCTCGTCATAAAACAGGCATGATTGTTGACTCCACTGTATCTCCTTCCAGGATCAGCCACCTCCTTATACACCTCCTGAGGATAAGAAGAACAACTAACAGAAGGAAATTGCAACCAGCCTCCCACATTCTCTCTCCCTGGAAACAACTTGGCTGTTAGTACCCCTCAAGTTAGCATATCTCTAGATCTTTGTTTCTCTGCAACAGATATAATGCTGGGCAGCTGAGCACCTGCCCTCCTTAAACATTGTCAGTGGCAATACAAGGCAGGACAACAACACTTTGCTACTTACTTGCTTTATCTCATGGGGTTGAAAGACCAACCTTTTGACCTGTCSTTGGCTTGAGAAGAGAGATGGACTTCTTATTAAACCATATCACATGACTAATCTAGGATTAAAATGTGAAGGCTCTGAGATCTTGTTGGCATAAAACAACTTGGAATGCCAAACTTTGGACTTCTGAAGCACCATCCAGGAGGAAAGGTGTAGAGAGCCATGAGGTTTCCTGCACAGATCCTTGGATACCATAGAAAGGTGTTAAATTTCTTTAAATTCTAGCACAATTCAGTGTGAGATGGAACTTTGGAAATCCTGTATTGTGCTGGAAGTGTGTAGCATCCTGGACTAACGGTGGTGGGGTGATGACCTTGGGAAGTGCATTCTAAGAGACACTGAAGCATTTGGCTATGCAAGAGGGAAGCTGATGGGCCCCAATCAGCCTGTCTTTGTAGCCATTGACTAGAAAAGCAAGCAAAGGTGTGCCTCAGGGCAGGGAGTTCATAAACTGGCAGGCTTGTGGACCAGTCTTCCTTTCCCTGTCCAAGCAGGCCCCATATCTGTGCAATGATGTGTGAGGCAGCAGTTTCTTGAGCATAATGGAGTCAAGAGCAAGAGGCTGCCTGCCTGGAGCGAAATATGTTACATTAGAAAGATGACCTGGCACTAACCTTGTCGGGAGACAAGTCCTGCAGCCCTGGCTCCCTCTGCTGAGCAAACTTGTGCTGTGTGTGCTACCTCCAYAGGGGAAAACTGGCCTTTATCTTTTCCAGCTGCTGGAACCAGGCCATGTGTGCCCACATCTGAGCAACATGGGCAGGTGGGCACTGTAATCCCAGAGTTGGTTAGTTAGGGGTGCAGTGCCCTCAGCTGGGAGCTGCTGTTTGGGTGGGATTAACTAAGGCTTGGCTCTCTTGCAGAGACATTGGCTGCTTAGCCACAACCTTTCCTTTTTCCTTAGGACATACTGCCATTAAACCTATTCTGAAGAGAGTCTTTAGTCTGGTGGAGATCCTTGTGATCCTTTACATATGGGGTGATCATACTTATAGCCTCCTTACCTTCACAGTGAGGGGCAAGGAGTGTTTTTCCTCTTACTTCTCTGTGTGGCAGGGCTCTCCTGCAAGTCAGCTTTGCACAACTTAAAAGTACGAATTCCTAAAACAGTTCCACATAGGGGGAAAGTAAGTTTCCTTATCTATAAATACTTTTTCTCAGTTAAAGATACTCTTAACTACTCTGTATTAAAAAAAAAAAAATCAACCATGAATGTTTGTAACTTTTTGAATTGCACTTTAATACAGGAGTGTTGATACCTTTATCTGCCAGTTCACTGTTGTGTGCGTGTTGTGCTGACTATAATTTTTGCATGCTGCACAGAAGGCTGGAATGAACTACAGCCACTACTGCTATTCTCTGGTGAGCTCTGAGTCAGTACTTCTCTCTTCCTGTGTGGGCTAAGCTGGGCCTGGAGTCAAGTAACCTGAGGGAGCAAAGGTGGTGCTTATCCCCTTGCTGCCTGAGAAGGGTGGAAGGCTGGCTGCTGCCTATGTTTGTGCCCAGGTATCAAGAACTGGCACATGTTCCATCACTGCATTTAGTGGRTGTTGTGTCACCACACCACTAGTCACAATAGCTGCATTCATAGCACCTCTTCTATGTACATTACACCAGAGGGAAGGCCTTTAAAGTCTTTAAAAGAAACTCCTTCCTAGCAGTGTTTTTCCAGCAATGGAAAAATAAATACATGATAAGGAAAATGGCACTTGGCTGTGGACTGTAAAATCGGTTTTCTCTTGTGCCAAATAATGCCACTGCCCTGCTGAACATGATGTAACTACTGGAAAGCCACTTCCTTCTCTGCATCCATCCAGYTTCTGTCGGGAAACCCGTTGTATTTCTTAGCATGGCTGTTCCTGTTTTGAGATAATGACCTTCTAATCCTACATTAACCAGGCAGCTATAGCTAGCAACATCAAAACATGAGACAGAGTCTGTGATCTGTTTCCCTTTATTTCAATTTGCCTCAATCACTTCCCAAGAACAAAGCCAGCTCCTTGTTAGCAAGTCCTTCCTTTTTAGAACTGCGAGCACTGTGTTCAGTATCTTGACCCTGCACCCAGAGAAAGTTTCTGGAAGGGGCCAGAATCAACAATTTAGTCCTGCAGGAACCAGAGTGCATGGATAACCAGGAATCCTCTCACAGCTAAATAGAGAACTTGGGTTTTTTTGCCTAACCTAAAATGTATTATTTTCCCAGTCTGAAAAGTCTTAATCTTGTCACCTAGAATTCCTCCAGAGCTGGTGTGCTGTATGAAGGTGAAGTAGTTGAAGGCTTTAGAGTCTGTCCTGACACGCACTTCCAGTTTTATCAGTGCAGGCTCCTCCTCAGGATAGAGCTGTGGATGTAGCTGCCCTCAGGGAGAGGAAGCCTTTTCCTCAGAAATCTGGATTTTCAGCCTGGAGTAAGACCCGATCCTCCTTTTATCAGAAATTTCATTCTAGAGCAAGAGGGATGCAACTTCCAGCCTGGAGGCACCTGTGACCATCTCCCAAGCCAAAAGACCACCTCATCTGAGCATCAGCATCTTCCCTGCCAACACTGCTACACAYGCTATGACTGCAGTTTTTGGGGTGTACCACAGCACATCTGTTTGAATCGTGCATGGCTCAAGGAGATTTTAGCTCTGCTCTGCTGTGAACTGCTACCAGAGGGACTTCATACAGTGCTAGCAAGCATGCTAAGCTGCAGTAGTGCTGGCCTCTAGGATTGTGGCAGCAGGCTCAGCCTGCTGCAGGCAAAGTCTTTCTGCACAGGACCATCATGCCTCCAGGAGCTCTTAGTCCTGGTGGGGATTCACAAGAGGGATGCAGCCCTGTTGACAGCCCCTTATACTAAACCAAGCTGATCATAGCAAGAGAAAGAAGGTGACCAAGTCTGATCCTTGAGATTAATGCCATCATGCACTTGGGGGATGAGGGTAGGGGAAATAGGAGAAGGGGATGTCACAACCCTAGGAGATACTAAAGCACCCAGAGCCTTTCCACAGCTGTAGTTCAAACAGTCCCTGCAGCATTCAGCAGTATCCAGCTCAAAGCCATAAAGTTCTCAGATGTCAGAGCTGACAAACTTCAGTAGTGGCTGGAGTCTACTTGTATGGCATCTTCCACAGGAGGATCTCAAAAGGCTTTGCAATCACCAAGGAATTGTGCTCTGCACACCCTTAAGCAGTGGGCAACAAGAATTCCTGATTTACAGATTGAGCAGACATCATCAAGCTGGCACCAGGGGATGGGCACTGCCCAGCAATGCTGGGCTCAACAGCAAAAGGCACTTGTGCAGTAAAGAGCCATGTGCCCTGGGGTGTCACAGCTCACCCTGGCACTGGTCCACACCCCATCTGCTGTGCCTTGTCACAGAAGGATTGGGTGGAAACCCTCGCCAGGGGCTTGCTGTCTGACATAGCCGGGTTGTACTGGGAGTGCCATGGGACGGAGATACCACATCACCACCCCCGAGGGGTTAATAACAAGTGAGAAGTTGCTTGCTGTCTTTAAGGAACCGATGATCTTCCCGGCATACACGTCTTGTACCTGAAAGAGACAGATGGAGCTACCAGCATTTCCAAACACCTTTCATCTTGGAGTCCAGCTRTGGTCACTGACATGGCATAGTGGGACAGGGCACAGCAGTGGGCAAGAAGACAGTGACCTGCCACTGCCCCTTCATCCTAGAGACATGGAGTGAGAATACCTCCCCCCCCAACAAAATGCACAGAGAGCAGGGAAGACAGGATCCATGTGCCCTAGGACTGCCCTGCTATGYAGTGTGTCAGTGGGGCTCACCTCATACACAGTATCCTTGGGGAAGTGGAGGTTGGCCAAACTGGTGGTGTAGCGGAAGGGCATATCTGTCCTCCGGCTGAAGAATACAAGGGCGCTGGCAGCCTGGGACAGCGGGCGCAGAAACACCTCGATGTGGGATTTCTCCTAGGGGTGGTGATAGGTGGGTGAGGCAGAGTTGCTGGGAGCAGTGTAACTTCTTTGCCCTGTGGGGCTGTTACACCAGCAGCCCAGAGCTCCCACAGCTCGCCTGCTGGTTTTCTGCATTGCTTTCCTCTCTCTCCTTATTTTGATGCTCTGTGCTACTCTCCCACATGCATCTGCTTTGCCCCTAACCTTGACAATCCTGCGGCCCTGGATTCCCAGGGGGTCCTGGTTGATCTGGATCATGAGGCGGTTCTGCAGGATCTCCTTGGCACTGTGGGAGATGGTGCGGAGATCCGTGGACATGAGGAGCGGAGCTGCCATCACTGTCCACAAGGCCATTTGGGAGCGTGACTCCTCATAGCTAAGGCCAAAGTTTCCAATGATGAGCTGGAGGAGAGATGGTGAAAAGACAGGAGATGTAGAAAAAGGTTAGAAACTTGTCTGCCTGTCACCACTGGTGATGCTGCTTCCTGCTGGAAAGGAACACACAAGGGAAACCTCACATACAGTTTTGCTTCCCCTTAAGCAGTCCACCATTGCTGCCACCATCACCAGGAGGTCTCATCCCTGCTGACAACATACATTCAAATACACTCATTAAGACCCTTTGTTTTATCACTATTTCCTCTCAAGCTGCGCAGGAAAGGACAAGAACACCTGGAGAACCTGACAAGTATACTCAAGTGCTGAAGGGTACATTGCAACCACAGGTTTTTCCCACAGCTTAGCCAAGGACAACACTAGCTTTGCCTCTGCAGCAATGGGGCTCCTGCTCCTGATGCTCTTCTTCTGCCCTGCCCCTAGCAGGGTATCTCTGAAGATCCTCATCCCCAGACAGGTTCAAGGCACTCACCACCCAGCCTCACCATGTCTGGGTCATTCCAGTGACCRGGGCCAGCTGCTGGCTGTAGCACGTCCTGGTTTGTGAAGAACCAGTCCACAATGGAAAGTACACTGTCCCAGGAGTCCTGGATGTCATCATAGTTACGCCACAGGTTGCAGATCTCTGCCAGGATGGTGTAGTTCACCTGACAAGGAGAACAGGGTCAGGCAGGAGGGAAAAAAATTGGTCTTCAAGGTGGGAGAGCGGGCAGCACTGTCCAGAAAGTGTGTGAAAGGCAGAGGAATCTGGAGAAGGGCAAGAAGGGAAGGGTAAGGAGGGAAGAAAAAGACATATCCTACTATGAACTGGGCACATCCCAGTGTGATACGATGTCTGGCAAAACAAGAACAGAGACCATGGGGAAATRTGATAAACTATCAGCCACAAGAATGAGGGCAGCTCAACATTGACTGAAGAAGTGAAAGAGGAAATACATGAGTGCAAACAATTCTCAAGAAAGATATACTGGGAGAAATATCCTATTTCAAGCACTGAAACCAGACATGATTGTCTCACAAGAACACAGTTGGACCAACCCCACATCATCTGTGTAAGGTGGGGAATACATTCTAGAGCCTTCTTCCCACAAACTCCCATCACCTAGCCATATTGGGACCCCCAAGTGTCCCCAAAAGCCTGGCAGGAAAGCCGCGTTCCCTCTGGGGACCTGCAGCACCATCCAGGGATGGAGAAATAAGAGGGGTATAACATCCTGTTCCTGGAGCTCCAACAAGAGCTCCCCCAGGGGACACAGGGGACACCAGAACCTGCCAATGGATGGGAAAACCCTCACCTTGGGGGGGAGACCCCCCTGATATGCTGGCCAGCTGCATGAGTAGACAATGGGACGGCCTGTGGCATTCAAGGCCCTCGCCATTTCCGGGTATCCTTAGGGAGAGAAGATGACAGTCGGTGAAGGGGGTGGCTGGCGGCAGCCTTTGTCCCAGCCCACCCAGCAAGGGGAATCCCAGCCAGCCTGGCTTCCTGCCTTACACCAGCTCCAGGACACAAAAGTTCCCTCTTTTCCCAAGAGTTGCAATAGGAGACGCAAAGGAAGAGCTGGCTGACCAACTGTTTCTGCAGAGGACCGGCTGCCCCAACTCAAGCAGCAAGGGGAGGAATGCCAGGGGCTGGTGAACTTATACCCTTTGCCTGCTCCTCTGCAGTCGAGTAGCACCCATCCAGCTTCAGCATGTCCACACCCCACTCTGCAAAGGTCTGGGCGTCCAGTTTCACATGTTCCAGCATGGTTCCTGGGTAGCCCCCACAGGTGAAGATGCCCAGGTCACCATAAATGCCCAGCTTCAGGCCCTTGGCATGGACCTGTGAAGAGAGGAGAGCTGCAAGGAGCAAATGAAGGGATCCAAGGCATCTCCCAGGTAYCGGGGTCCTCCATTCCTTCCCAGCTCTCCCATCATACTGGCATGGGGAGACAGAGATCCCCAGTGGTCCCCAGCAGGTACTCACATAATCAGCCAGAGCCTTAATTCCTCTGGGAAATCTCTTGGGGTCAGGAACCAGCCGTCCTGTTGCATCCCGCTGCTTGGCAGACCAGCAGTCGTCAATGTTGATGTACTTGTAGCCCAGCTCCCTCCAGCCATCCTCTGCCAGTCTGTCTGCCATCTCAAAGAAGAGCTGCTCACTGTGGATTGATGGGACACAGCAGGCTGAGACCCCCGCGCCTCACCAGGTGAAGCGGGCAGAGGGATTTTGGGGTTAGCTGGGGGCTCAGGAGGGCTGGTCTGGGCCATAGGAGGGTCTCCAGGGCCCAKCCCTGTCCGTGTTTATTGACCTCACTGAGAGTGAAGCGTTTCCCCAACTGCCTGCAAAGCCTGGGCCACATCCTTCAGCTCCGGGGGCTCTCCGGCCCAGCACCAGCGCGTCTGAGCCTCCCGCCTCCCATGCACCATGCACCCCGGGGTCCTAGCGACACAGACGGTACCGGAGCCATCCCGGACCTGAAGTTCGACCCGACCGAGCCCCACCGTGCTGACCTGATGCAGTTGCGGGGATCCGCCTCGCAGTCCACRTTGCAGCGGAACCTCTCCCAGGACATCCAGCCCATGGGGGGAGTGCGCGCCAGCCCGTTCTCCAGGGCCACGGAGGACGGCGCCAGGGCCAGGGCCAGAACCAGAACCACCCCGCTCAGTTCCATCGTCCTCATCGCTGCCGCTGGGGCACAGAGCAACTCGGCCGGCCCCGGCCSGGCCCGGCCCACATGATGCCGCCTGCATCACCTGACCAACCGCCCACGCCTCCCGCCCGCCCGCCCGCAGCCACCGCGCCCCGCCGGTATGGGACCCAACAGTGCTGTGCCACACAGCCGTGTCACCCCGTTAATATCGCCCCCTCCCGCATAACTGCACCCTGTCAGTATCGCACCCCGTCAGTACTGCACCCCACTGGTGCTGCGCCCCATAGCTAGTACCCATCAGCACTGCGCCCAGCCCATACTGTCTAGTTGCCAGCGCACCCTACTGCAGCTGGACCCCATTGTTGGCACCCTGTCACTGCCGCTTCCCGAGGCTGCTGCACCCAACAGTGACTCTGGAAGTGRGAGTTTAGGTCCCTCCAAGGCGAGGACCCCGCAGAGCGGGGAGAGCGAAGAGCTGCGGAAGGACGCGGCTCCGGTCTGGCTGCGGYGCCCCCCGGCCCCCCCTCTCCCCCGCGGCCGCTGGCGGGGCGGTGCTGCCGGCGCACCGGGACGGCCCCGGCGGCCGCAGGAGCCCTCCCCCGCCCGGCCGCGGCAGGGCCGGGGCTGCCCCGCATCGCACCGACTAGCAGGAGCGGCCGGAGGTGAGCCGGGCCGGGCCGGGCAGGGGYCGGGGTCGCGCCGACGGAGGGGAGGCGCTGGGCAAAAACCGGGTGGCGCCGGGGCCGGGCCGGGGCAGGGCAGCGGTGGCTGCGGGTGCGGGGCCGCGGGGGTCGTAAGCACAGTATGAACACACGCACGGAGTGGCACACAAAGACACGCGGCCCCATTGCACAGGCGTGCGTCCGCACACAAAGACACAGAGCCCAGCGCTGCACACGCACACGTGGGACCCCCAGAGCCCCCTCGTGTCAGGGCCGGCCTGGGCCGCCCCGGCTGCCCGCAGYCTGAGTGTGCCAGGCTGGAGGCTCCCCAGGGCAGAGCACCCCCCGCCTTTCCTTGTATCTGACTGGGGACTTGTGTGTTTTTCAACCTCGGGTCCTTGCCCCCGTGTCCTCAGCCCTGCCCCACAAGCCCTGATGGGAAAGAAGGGCTCCRGGAAGGATTCTGCATGTTGCTCAGCAGTGGGGAGCTCCCAGCGCCCAGATCTTTAAGGGAAGTGGTAGCTGTGGTTTCTTTTGTGCATATTTTTGTATGTGGAGTTTTAGTGGTTGGAAAACGTTTTGCAGTTGAACAATCCACAAAGGCTGTGCTGGTTCTGTCCTTCGAGGCTCTGTCCTTGAGTTGCCGAGTTGCCTGCCACAGGGGCAGTGATTCCACAAACGGAGCAGTGACAGCTTCTACAAAACATTATTTTCTTTTAACAAGCCCAAACTAAACCCACAGGAGCCAGAAAACAAACCCACAGGAGCACTGGCCTGAGTTGGAATGGGGTTCAGGCTTTGAAGCCAGTGCATGTGCCCCAAGTTTTGCCATTTTGGTTTCCAGAGCAGCTTGCCTTTCTGGGGTGGAAGTGATGCAGCTCTTAGTTCTTTCAGTCCCAAACCATTCATAACCCCCTCTCTAATACTCTTTCTTCTGACAAAGGATGGGGCTTATTGTGCTGAAGCCTTGGAGACCCTCGGCGAGGGAGCAGCCTGGCCAAGGAAGACAGCGAGGGGTTGCAGTCTGACTTGAACAGCTGGTATGGCACCTTGCACCCCACTGCTGATGAACCTGCTGGAGCTGGGAGTTCTGCTGCTAGAAGGGCTGGTGGCTGTGGGTGGTCCTGCTTGGACAGGGTGTAGGGAAAAGGTGCAGAAGTGGAAATTCCAGAGCCCTTGGGTTTGAAACACTTTCCTTATCCTGCCCTGTAATAGAGAGCAAAATTAATGCCTTGCAGGCAGAGAAGCAAATTTCTTTGATGTGCCCCATAAAAAACTAGCAAAGTAGGTCACTCCTGGAATAAGAAATAAAACAGCAGTGTTGATGTTCCCACAAAAGGCAGGTGTCTGGGTGGTGAGGCTCTCCTAGTGACCTCCTCTTTGCAGCAGYGAGGAACCGGCCTGCCCTTTGTCGGGGTACCTGGCAGGTTAGACACTGTCCTGTATTGGTGGCTGCTGGAGTTGGGCCTGCTTGTCCCTTGGAGCCAGATCAGGCCTCTCCTGGTGGGGCCRGTGACATGCTCCTCACACCAAAACAACCTCTACCCGCTCTGTTCCTTTGCTTCTAGGTGGGGCAATGAAGCTGAATGAGCGGAGCGTGGCCCACTACGCCACCTGTGACTCGCCCGCTGACCATGCTGGCTTCCTGCGCAAGCGGGTGGAGCGGCACCACCACCATGCCCACCACCATGGTGCCTCCTACCAGCGCCGCTGGTTTGTCCTCAAGGGCAACCTCCTCTTCTACTTCGAGGAGCGGGAGAGCCGGGAGCCCGTGGGGCTTGTGGTCCTGGAGGGCTGCACCGTGGAGCTGTGCGAGGCCTCCGAGGAGTTTGCCTTTGCCATCCGCTTTGATGATGCTGGTGCCAGGGCTTATGTGCTCGTGGCCGACGGGCAGGCTGCCATGGAGGCCTGGGTGAAGGCACTCTCACGGGCCAGCTTCGACTACATGCGGCTGGTGGTAAAGGAGCTGGAGAAGCAGCTGGAGGAAGCCTACAAGAGCTTGGCTGCTTGCCGTAAGTCTCCACAGAGGTCATCCTGCTCTGGCAGGAAGAGGCATCTCTCCAACCCTGCTTTGCTGCCTCTCCAGGAGAAGCCCACCACCCTGGAGAATGGTTACTCCACGTGGGGTAGTGGTGGTTGTGTCGCCGGTGGGGCCACCTGCACTGACTACGATACGGGGCAAACAAAGCCCCCACCGCTGCCTCCCCGCCGGCGCTTGGCCGCCTGCAGCACCACAGGATCCCCAGTGCCTGGCCTCTCACTGGCCATGCTGGAGAGCCCAGTCCCACCGGAAACAGTCTGTTTCTCCAAGCTGCATAACTGGTATGGGCAGGAGATCGCGGTGCTGAGACGCGAGTGGCAGGAGAGGCAGAAGAGGGGACACCCGTGACTGGGGGGAAGGACACAAGTCACTGGCCAGCTGATGCTGACCAGCCTGTCCTCCGTGCAGGAAGGGTGAAGTGAGGGACGCTGCTTGCCCCTGCCYTCATGAGTGGCTGTGTGTATGCTTCACTTGGGAGGGATTCAAATCTCCTCTAAACCTCATATTTCATTTCCATGAGGCTTTATACATATGGAGAGTGTGTAACACCAGGGGAGCCACATTTATTTAAACTCTCTCTGCTGGAGATAGAAGCTGCCCAAATCAGCACATGTGCAATGAATGAACCTCAGCCAATGGGCTTGGTCACTTGCTGCCCTGATATGCTGAATGCTCCGGGTGTTTCATCCTCTACCTCTCCTTCAACACTTCTTTTTTGTTTTGTTTCTCAGTGTGGAATTTTGGTTTTGGTCAGTGCTTATTAGTGTCTGTGGTCTTGTGCCAAAGTCCTTCTGCCTTTCTTCTGTTGCAGCAGATGAGGCTGGGCTCTTATGAAGTGCCTCYGACAGGCCACTGGCCCTGGCGCGTGCCTCCAGCCTTATTCCTCTCTCACTACAGGACATGTGAGCCACTGCAGCTGTTGCTGGCCTAGCAGCTGGGGCTCTTGCATTGTTTTTTTACTTTCATCTGCAGTAACCCTTCTTCCAGCTAAATCCTTCGGGACRTGGATATCATGGTCTTACCACTGTCTCTTTGGGTGCTCATATTCAGCAGCAAGCCTGAAATGGAGACATGGAGCTTGGCCTGAAGACACAGAACGCCAGGACCTCCCCAGGGCTGATCTGGACTCTGTCAAGTGGTAGTCAAGCCTGTTAATATCTCCAACCCAAGGTTTCCCAAAACAGGGATGCTAAAGCCTCTTTGCCTGGCCAGGAGCAAATTCCTCAGCCTTTGCTTCAGACCACAGCCCTTGCAAAGTGCCACGCAGAGCTCAGTCAGCTTGTCGGGCTTCTTGCCCAAGAGGGTGTSCAGAGCCACGCTCCTGCAGGGCCTCTCAGTGTTGTGGCTCTGTCCAGCTCCTGGCAGTGCTGTGCAGTTGGAGGAGAGGCTTTGAAGAAATGGGAGGAAGAGAGGGCTGGTCTCAGGAGAAGTGAAGTTGTGGGAGTGAGTTACAGGTAGCAGTGTTTGCAGTGTCTGAGTTTGCCTCTTCAGCATCAAAACCACATTACTGCCTTTTACCAAGCCTCCACCTGGCTTGCTGGCGCTTTTCTCTGATTTCATGTCAGCATTGCTTGGCTGATCTCTGCAGGACATCCTATCCTCCCAGCAGGCTGGGAGGGCTGCAGGGAGTCTCACCTGTCACCTCACTATGGAAACAGACTTGTCCAGCAGTAGGTCAGAAACCTTGGCCACAAGGTAGACAGTACAAGTWGGTGGGTGCCAAGTCCAGGGACTAAAACACCCTTGGGATGGGGTTTAAAAATTTCCCTTATCCTCTTGGCAAGGGCTGCTTTTCAGAGAAAAAGTGTGTGACATTGTATGCTTCCCTTCWAAAAATGTTAAACCTGGTTTTATTATCCAATTGATTTGTGTTGTTATTATTAAGGAGCTTTGCTAGGAAAGCAAAAGCCCATTTCATGTCGTGACTAGCTGGAACCTATTTACTTTTCTGGACTTWAACACACTTGGCTTCCTACTGTGCAATAGCCAGTAGAGATTGGCCATGGAGAAATAATTCTGTTAATTTTTGGTGCCTTTGAATATGTATCTCTGGTAGTTTTGGATKATGAGCTTCCAGCCTCCTGCCTAATTATAGCTCAATGGTATATTAGAGGAAATAAGATCTTAAATTAGATCTTACAAATATGACTTTGGGCAGTGAGAGTGTAACCTTCACTTGCAAGTTACACAATCCAGTGCTCTCCAGTTTGTGGCTATATTRCTTCACAGTGAGGGTCTTCAAGTTTGGGAGGATTATTTTTGTTTTGCTTTTGTGAAAACAGTTCAGAAAAATCAGGAGCAGGCAGCCATGGGGCAAGGCCCAGGATCCATCAGCAGCACAACTGGTCGGACGTAGGGGCCAGCTCTGCCTCCCTACCTGCTGCTTGAAGAGTTCAGTACTGCAGCATTCCTGGCTGCAAATATGTCCCTGTTCCCCATGCCARGGGAGCAGCATCAGGAGATTGCACTATCTGGTGTCTCCTTGCTATGAGCATGGGTATTTCGGGCCCAAGGTCAAATTTGTCAAGCATTTTCCTGTGTTTATTTTTTTATTTTACATAATATGGAGAGAATATTCCTGATGTCTCAGATTAACATATAGCAGTTTAACAGTAAAGATTCAACATCCAAAACAAATGAAAATGTAGTGGCAGTTCCTAAATGAGACCCAAGAATTGGGAGCTACTTGAAAGGGAAAATAAATTAACAAAACCAGGTCTGTCAGAACTGGAACTGAGACAGTATTATTCATTTAAGGGCAGTTTCACTTTTAAGAAGCTTAGTTTGTTTTAATAAGCCAGTATTGTGCTCCTAACACTGCTAAAGAGCTTATATTTAATGCTTTAATCTTTCCCATTCAAATAGCACAATTTCCACACTACCTACCTTTGCATTAGCACATATCCCAACTAAATCCTAAATCCTGCAAATGAGGCGCTGCACTCTGCTTTCTGTCTGATCGCATTTGGAGTAATTTTGCGTTTTATTCTGCAGTGCTGACAAGAAAGTGGCTGAATCCTGATTTGCATTTGTGCTCGGCCCAGCCGTCCATGCCTGGGCTTTTGCTAGATTTCCACAGCACTGCATGACTTCGGATGCACTTGATCAGGGTTTCGTCACCATCCCACTGTTCTGAGTGAAAAGGGCCATAATTGGAGCCATGTCCAAATTTGTACGAGTACAGGCTTTTTAATGACTACTGCCACTTGCTTCATTAGGCAGGAAGCCCCTGAGTGCCCCACTGTCTCCTCAGAGATGGAGGCTATCAAACTATCCCAGCTTGAATTGGGTGTGCTGGCAGCGCCTTTGAAGCAAGAGGTCAGGATTTCATCTTCCAGAGGTTGAACATTCCGCTGGCTAATGGAGCAACCTTTCTTGTCTTGCTGCAGAGATTGTTACAGGGAAGGAGAGAATTTTCACTGCACATTGTCCCCAGCAGCAAAATAAGACTGATTGCCACTGGGGGTTTTTCTCCAGTCAGTCAGGTTTGGACTGTTTCACCTCCTGCCTCCACTTTCCCTTTTTAGTTTTAAAAATAGAGAATGTCAGGACAGCACAAAACAGGTTCCTTGGTAAAGAGGAAGCTTGAACACTAAAGTTGARTGTGTACTTTTCTTAAAAGTACTGAAGTAAGATCTTTTTCTAAGAGTTTTCTTTAGTGCAAAAGCAATGAGAGAAAAGTGCTAAAATCTAAAAGAAATCGAAGACTGAAAAAGGGCTATTCTGCCACGGCCTTTGTAAGCTGTGCTGAGAAGGGATCCCAACCCTGCTAAAATAATTGATGAAATCTTTACATTTTTCTAAGGCTGGCATTTCCCATTTGGTACTTCAGTACATTTTGTGGTACAACTGGTGTTTTTCGCTGAATGCAGGTGACAAGTTTTACCTGTGGCCACTGTTACCATGTGGTGGACARTCATGACCAAGATCATGTTTTGTTACAATAGCTACTGCACTAATAGTGCGTGGGGGAGTGACCCCTCAATGTTACCTCTCTCAGCTGCCTTTGCTGAAAGCTGAAATAGCCCCGACTGAAATGCACGGGGGCATCTTTCACCAGCACCAAACTTGCGTTSTCTCCACACAACTACCTGGAAAACACTACGAGCAACTCCCGCCTTTCCAAGTGCTTCTGTTTTAGGTAGGACCATGTGTTTCTTTTTTTTTAGGAGGCGGTTTTGCATGCACCTTTGTTTTACACGCGGAACTTGTATTACACATTTCATTACATTGTTTAAGTTTGTTTTATGCGAGGAACTTGTATTACGCATCTTATTGCATTGTTTAGAGTTTGTATTTTATGCCGTGAAGCCGAATAAACTGGTTTGATTWGTAGCCTGCGCACTGCCTATGTAGCTGAACCCCCGGAGGTGTCTGCAGGGCCCAGCCATTCCCCCCGGCCCGGTTTTCCTTTTATCGGGAGGCGGCGGTGGGCCGCTCCAGCGCTCCCCTCCCACCGCGGCACCGACAAACGCCCCCGGCTCCGGGAGGGGCGCGGCCTCCACTCGCGCCTGCGCAGCGCCGATCTCGCCGCCTCCCCACAAGCCTCGCGAGATCGCAGCTCACTCCTGGGYTCGGCCGCGGCTCGGGGCAGGCGGGACGATGGCGGCGGCAGCCGGACGGCTCCTGGCGGCGGCCGTGGCTCGCTCGGGGCGTGCGGGCTGGGGCGAGCCGGGCCGGGCCCCGACCGTGCGGCTGGTGCCCTCCCGGAGCGCCACCGTCACCCGCAGTGGCGCCATTTTGCCCAAGCCGGTTAAGGTGAGTGAGGGGCGAGCGGGCGGGGGCGGCAGCAACGGAGGCAGCGGTGGCCAATCGGTGCGGGCGCAGCTGMTGTGGGTGGGGCGATATCGTTGAGTGACAGTGGCCGGGGCCAATGAGCGGGGCGGCGTGGGCGTGGATGCGGAAGCGCTCGGCAGCGGGACGGTGAAGGGAGCGGCCCCGCGTCCCCCGAGCGGGCGGGCCTGACCCGGCCCGTGTCCCCCGCGTCCCCC